TACTCCGAGAAGTCATGCGACCAGCACAGACAATGTCGTCAACAGCCATGAATCAATCCAAAGAGCAACATCAGATGTAGTCTTCATTAGCTATAGATCAGACATCAACCATTCAGAGAGTATGGTCTCACTCTATCAATGGCTGCTGGATGGTCCATGGCTATTGAAGACGTTCTGGCGATGGCTAATAATGCTTGTGGTATGATCTTTTGGAGTTTGTTCTTATTCTCTGAATAGTTGATGTCTGATATGTGGCTAATGAAAACTGCATCTGTCGTTGCTCTCTGGATTGATTCATGGTTGCTGACGACAGTGTCTGTGCTGGTGGCATGACCTCTCGGAGTCTGGTCTTGCTCTATCAATGGCTGCTGGATGATCCATGGCTGATGAAGGCGCTCTAGCGGCGGGTGTTGACAACGTTGTATGAGCTAGTGGTAAAACCTCTCTCCATCTACATCTGTTGTTGCTCTCTGGGCTGATTTGTGGCTGCTGACTACACTGCTTGTGCTGGTGGCATGACCTTTCGGAGTATGGTCTCACTCTATCAATAGTTGCTGGATGATCCATGGCTGAAAATGAATTCGTGAAAAAAGAAGAAGAAAGAATCAGAAAAAATCTTTGGCCTTGGGTGGACTAGCCTTGAACTTGTGACTGGAGCAACCTTTGAGGTTGTAGGAACCTTCCTCCTTGCCCCCAGCGTGATGAAGGCGGTATGAGTTTGAGTTGTTATTTTGACAAATTTCTGGCACGCCCGGTGGGACATCCTCTGCCTCTCATCTCTTTCTCCTACATCAAATCCTCAATAAATTCATCGTCAGATTCTATAACTTCCAATAAGTTTCAGATGAAGAACAAGAATACTACCAAAGACATCACAGTTATGACGGACGACATCAATACCATCACAAAAGGTGACAAGAAGGTTGTAACTTTGTCAAGTGGTACAAACACCCCTGCAAGTTCAATGATATGGAGCATGGCCAAATCATTCGTTCCTGCCAAAAGACAACAGGAAGGTGATACTAGTTAAAAACATGAACAATCAAATTACGTAAGACCAACCTCATGCCCAATTTTCAGTTCCTTTATGGCCTTGTGAATTTTTAGAAAGATTATTTACAGGTGCCATAGATTCTTGCTAATAATAAAACACCAGTTTGTCTATGTAAAAATATGAGTGCGAGACAGAACGAATGAGATTAGGGAGAGGAGAGAGGAGAGAGGAGAGAGAAGAGAGAATTATAATTTGATTTGGATTCATTTTGATTTAACCCGAATATTTATCAAATTATTATTATTTATTATTATTATTATTTTAAATATAAAAACACTTATAAGTTTAGTATTGCTCTATATACTTGGTGAGTATAAATTTTTTACTTACCGGTGAATAAACAAGTATTCTCCTCTAACATTTGTCTGGCATATGTTGCCATAAATTAATACTATTGTGGATTAAAACTAGGATAAATAAATCTCTGTCACAGACATTTCCCAAGTCTGACTACTGGTGTATTTACATCTATTTATACCTATTTATACTGTACATCTCATTTGGTTGATGATTACAAATGGAATTATTAACTCTGAATTCATTGAACTTTGCAGGCAAGGTAGAGGATGCAAGGCAAAGTTCAAATTCTTCTCTTCGGTGCCACCTTACCAGACTGGGTGAAGCATGTTCGTTTCTTTGCCGATATCTATTATTTTGATCTCTATATTGAAGTCAGAATTCCAACTTTTTTTTGTGTTTGCTGTTGCTTATCTTTGTTTTTCTGTCTGTTTAGCTGCCTTTGTGTGCAATATTTGTGATCTGATTTTGAATGTCAACATCAACACTTACTGGGACAAAGTATACTGCGTCTGAACTTGCTGGCCTGGAGTTCGTGCTTAAGTGTGAGCCTCCACGTGGATGTAGAAGCCTATATTCACCAATGTAGGACGGGGAGCTGGTAAAAACTGAAATCGGCGATTCTCCAGATGTTTCTGGAATCGGAATTCTGTCTGCAGTGAGAGGTGGTACTCGTCGGTCCATAACATGGTGGGCGGTTCGGTCTTTTTCTAGAAGCGGACGTCTTACCGTCGTATCAGCCCAGTGAAAAACCCAAGTGCATTTGGACCAAAAGCATCACCAGTCTGGCCCACCAAATACTATGCATGTTTTAAGGATTTATGGTAGAAAAGAGTACTGTTATTTCGTCCGGCTTAAAAAAAAAAATTCCATATATTACGATTTCTACGTGAATGTCACTGTATGGGTTACTTTAAAATTTAAATATATCAATACAGCTGTTAACAAAAATTGGAAGATCATTTTCTCTCTCTAACCAAATAAAGCCAATAATGCATCCTCTCTCCACATCTTATCGTGAAACGCTGTGAAACTGCAATAACATCTCTTTTTCTACATATCATCAAAATTACTTTCTAAACCGGCAATAAAAAAAAAAAGAACCAGGTAATACAATGAATTTCGATATTCTCTGAAACATAATCAAGAATATGCAATGACTCCTACAGATTAAATGAGTACTTAATATTTACTAACACGTTTTCTTGTTCCCCATTTTCAGATGACAGAGAAGAAAAAAATTTCGTTCGAATATCTCACTGGAAAAAAAAGAATAAAAAAGAATTTTGTAAAGATATATATATATACACACACATATACGGTGAAGAAAACAAGAAAGTAAAGGGTATTTTTGTTTAGAAAATATAGTACATTTAATGTGATGAGAGAGATTTGGAACAACCATTATTGTATTGTCACGTCAAAGTCGATTTTTTTGTCGATATAAAAAGTGTCGTCAAAATTATCATTTTTCAAAGAGAAAAACAATGTTTAGAGAAATTTATCGGGTACATAAGAAACATAAATACAGAATTTAATGAAGTTGCCATTTCGGAAATCAATAATAATAAAAAAAAAAATTAGTATTATTATTTTTCGGATACGTAATGAATTGGGTAAGTATAATTATATATGAATTGGGTAAGTATAATTATATATTAAAAAAATTCAACTTTTGAAAAGTAAATAAATGTCTGTCTTTATAGGCAATAAAAGTGCCAGTGAACTTCCAACCACAGAGTACAATAGTCATCTCTATATATAAATAATAATAATAAATAAATGAGCATAAATTAACTTATTGAAATTTGAGAATTCCGTTGGCTTGGATTGGTCTCAATTCTTTTGTTGTTCTCTTAAATCAGCTAACCGTTGTTGGGCTTAATTGCTCTTGTTTGGCCCACCCAGTACACAAAAAGAATTTTGGTAATTATATTTCAGTGTGTTTGCTTATGCAAATTCTAATGATTTGAAATTTCAATTTTATTGGAATTGGTACTCAAAATAATTAGAATTCCTCTTAGAATTTTATTTTTTAAATCAAGTATGAATTCATTTAAAATTAAGCTCCAAAACCTATTAGTTGTCTTGGTTTGATTTGGGATAATTCGGCTCAAAAGTCACTAATATGTTTTTGTTTTTCACATTTTCATCGTTTGTTCTATCATCTTGAGTGGATTATGGATTGTCCATCATATGTCGTGCAGTTGAGGTGGCCATTGATCGTGGCCTCATAGTACTTTTTTTATTTTATTATTACTTCTTCCTCTAAGTACTCTCGATAAAGGAAGAATTACAAAATATTCTGTGTCATCTTCAAACATTGATTATTTTTAAAAAATAAAATTAAGTAACAATGTTTTATTGTGGATTGCTTAGGACTATTGAGAGACAAAACTATTCATAAAGTGCAAATTTATGAAATTAGGATATTCAGGTAGATGGTGGTGAATAAAAGAATGTGTAGACGAAGCAATACATGATGCCTTAAAACAACAATATCAAATTTTCCACTAATAAAAATAAGATAATGTTCAAATCGATTTGTTAAAGAAAGAAAAAAAGAGAAAATAAATAATAAAAGAGCAATACTTTTTTGAAAGGTGATGTTGTAAAGGGACAATACTGTCAATACTCTATTGATTTCATAATTTATTTTATGGGCAAAAATCTACTCATACAAATTTCAACAGCTCTAAAAATCGTTATTTTACTCGGCTTTGATACGATTAAGCAAACATAAATGACAAAAGAATTGGGATTATTTTTAGTGTATGAGGAAAATTAGAATTGAGACACGTAAATTTGAGCTCTAAATGAAACTATTCTTGATCATCCATTTTATTTCATGAGAGTTCTAGACTACAATTAATGACATATTGTTTAGGGCATGTTTGCTACGTGTTTTGTTTTTGGTGTTTTTGTTTTTGTCGAGTATTATAGGAATGAATAATGGAAAAAATGCATTTTGTAAAAATTATTTTGCTTTGCACAATACCAAAATGTTTCATGAATAGTGGGAAAATATCGAAAATCAATTTGGTATTTTTATATGCTTCCGCACTATAACGTTTGGTACTGTAACAATGAATAGTAATTTTTAAATTTTTTTTCAAAAAAACTCATAAATTACATTTTTAAACTAACTATTATATTTTTCAAACTTAAAATACTTTTTACCAAATATATATATATATATTTTATATTTTTACTTTTAAAAATCTTAAAAAAAATAAATATTACCAAACATATTTTTAATTATTATTCAAAATACTTTATAACAAAATACTCGTAAAAAACAAAACGCATAACAAACAAACATGACCTTATATTTATATTTATTGTATTTAGTCCCTTCTATTCTCAAAGACATGGGCCTAGGGTTTTCGTAGAGTAGGGTTTTTAGTGACATTTTCCACATGTTTCTGGGTGTACGTCAAATATTAAAACGACGTTGTTTTTATCAAAACCCCAAAAAGGATAGTAACGATGTCGTTTGATTTTGCGTAGGTCTAAAAGAGAACGCGGCGTTCTACAAAATATCTAAACGAACTTTTATTCTCATCTAACGATAAAGAACCGAATATACCAGGTGTTGACCATCCAACGGTTGAAAATCACTCCACCGTAAGCATAAAAACGCAAACCCTAAACCTTTTCTCTTCCTCTTTAGCTCCTGCTACTGCAACTCACTGCCACACCCTTTTATAGCAGGAGAAACCCTCTCTTCTCTATCTCTGTCTATCTGTCTATATAGTGATGCCTTCTCTTGCCATGCCTCAATCTCTCTCACCCGAAGTTTGCAAAGACAAGAAGGAGAAGAAGAAGATGAAGAGCAACACGAAAACCCTAGAATTCGACTCTTCCGTAGAGAAGAGCAAGAAGGGTAAGAAGCTGAATAATATTGAGATGAATTCGAAGGTTTCTGAGTCTGAATCTGAATCTGAAGAAGATTCGCAGCAGAAATTGTTGGAGAAGAAGAAGATCAAGAAGAAAGAGAAGAAACGTAAGTCATCGGAGATTTTAGAAGAACACGGGGAGGAGAAGAGCGATACGAGCTCGGAGTCGGGCGAGCCTATGAATTTGAAGGGGGTGAGTGGTGCTAAATCGGCGAAGAAGAAGAAGTTGACGGAGGTTGATGATGAGGTGGAAGCAAAGGTTGATGATAAAGCAGAAAATCCGAACGCGGTATCGAAATTTAGGATTTCGGGACCGTTGAGAGAGTTATTAAAGTCGAAGGGGATTGAATCCTTGTTTCCTATTCAAGCTATGACGTTTAACACTATTTTGGATGGTGCGGATTTGGTGGGTCGTGCGAGAACTGGACAGGTACAGATTCTTCATTGAGCTGGTTATTGTTTTGGGTTTTAATTTTTTTTGATTCGCTTGCAATTTATCATTTGATTGGCATGTGTTCCAATACGTGTTTGTGGCTTGTAGTTACTTTAAAAATCGAAAACTAAGTAAACTTTGAATGAAACTTTGCACATTCATGAAACAATTATAAATTATGTTTAATAGGTGCCAAGGTGTGAATACGTGTGAGTAGTTGACATCTCTCTATTGCCGTTGCTGCTGCTGTTATTTTATTATGGTAAAAAGGTCGAATACATAAATACAACAATTTTATTCTGGTATATGTTCAATAGAAATGCCAGCTCTGGTAAGATAAATTGGAACATGTTGGGCCTGTTTGGATGTTCTCTCGAACTGAATAGCCCTCATATGTGATTTACATAGCATTTCAATATAGAAATCATGTGCAAAAAAGTATATGTGGACTCCTGTATCATTTTTTTAACTTCCAAAATAGGTGAAAAGAAAGTTGGTTTTGTCACTAAGATATCATGTGCTATATACAAGAATGAGATTTATTGAGGTTGATATGTCCTAGTCCCTAAAGCAGAAGCCTACTGGTGGGATTCTTGAAGTTAGATGGAACCTTTGGTAGTTTGATAGTGATGGCAAATAGCATGTGAAATATTTTTAAAATATAGTTGGTTTTTATATTAGCTCTCCATTCTTCTATAACCCCTCATGAAGGGGATGTGTTTATAGTACATAGCATGTGGTTCAGTTATCATTTCTGCTTTAGCAAAATGCTGATGAATTGTTGCCAACTTTTGATTGTTGCTTTATACAAAGCACATCGTACTAAACTAAAAAATGATGGGTTTATATATATATATACACACACACACACACATATATTCTACTTATATTTTTCCTTCACGGGATGAAAATTTGACGAGAAGTGACAAGGAAAAAAAAATAATTTAAATTCAATATTTCCCTCTCTTGAGCATTTTGCTTCCCCTTTTATTAATTTTACTTCTGGTCAATCATTTGACAGGTACAGTTTTGAATAAAAACAATGAGTTATTCTCCCCTTAATAATTTATCAATGATGTTACCATTATAATTGTTAATCGCAACTAACAACAGCACAGAGTTGATGATATTAAAAATCAAACTATGTTGTAAACCATGCACCTGGAAGAAGTTGATTTCAATATCCATATCCTAGGGACTTCCTATTTTTGTTAGTTAAAACACATCCAGATGTATTAGGAACTTATGCATGTGGTTTATTGAATGAACAGTGGGCTAGTACACTTTCTAGTACTTATGGTTTAACTTCTCTATTTTTCTTTTTTGATTAGTTAGCATGTTGTTTTAGCCCTTTCATCGTCCAATTTTATCGACATTGGATTGTTTCAGCTCTTTCATCGTCCAATTTTATCGACATTGGATTGTTTCAGCTCTTTCATCGTCCAATTTTATCGAAATTGGATTTTTTCATAGACTTACTGTAGTTGAAGAATCTCTTGTTCTTTGAAGTTGCTGATTTATTCTTGTTCATTTACTTCGAAATCCATTAAGTCATTCCAGATATTTTTCTTGTATCATGTACTGAATATTTGTTCCTCTGGATATGCTTTGCAATTGTACAGGGTAAAACGTTGGCATTTGTGTTGCCTATATTGGAGTCACTAACAAATGGGCCTACAAAAGCATCACGAAAGACTGGCTACGGGAGGGCACCAAGTGTTCTTGTACTTTTACCTACTAGGGAATTGGCCACTCAGGTATTACACCAGAACTGTACTCTTAGGGATTTTCTCTCTTCTGACAATTTCCTTTCTGAGTCTCTGTGTTTGCTTTATCAAAGGTGGCCGCTGACTTTGAAGTCTATGGTAAGGCATTGGGGCTGACTTCATGCTGTTTATATGGGGGAGCTTCTTACCATACTCAAGAGGCTAAATTAAAAAGAGGGGTCGATATAGTTGTGGGAACACCTGGCCGCATTAAGGTGGTCTTTTCTTGGATTTAATTTTATAGATAATTTTGTAATTGTTTTCCGATAACATCACTGGATTTTGGCGTCCAATAATATGACTGTCCCAACTCACGTTAAAATTTTGGTATAGGATCACATACAAAGAGGAAACATTGACTTCAGCTCATTGAAGTTCCGTGTCCTTGATGAAGCTGATGAAATGCTGAGGATGGGTTTCGTTGAAGATGTTGAACTTATTTTAGGTTTGTGATTCATCATATTTATTTTCATGGGAATATCTTGCACCTCATTTTAAGAGTCCAATACTGTCTCATTTGTTTTATACCATTTTCTAATAATTTCTATAATATTGTTACCACATACCAATATGTTTCAGTTTGTGTCTGAGATAAATAAATTTTCTATTGGTATAAATGTAGAATGGAAGTGGTCGATTTTTGTTTCTATTTATTGGATCGTTATGACCAGATTATTTGATTGTGCTTAACATATTATATGGTAGCGTGTGTGTCTGCTTTTTAACTATTTTTTCTAGAAGGGTTTAGATGGGAGGCTTCTCAAGTTTCCAAAGTCAAGACCCAACCCGTATATACTTGTTGAATGATATAGAGCCATGCATGTGTCACTCTTTAATATACAAGGTATTTTTCCCTGAAGTGCACACAACTCTGACCTGAGTGCTGATAGTTCTACCTCACTACTTAATCCGTCCATCGTTATGGTGGTGTTTTAGTGTTTTTAACCGCAAACTTGAATCCCATCATTTTGATTGGCTCAGAAAGAGTCCACTGGCTATGACTTGGACTGAAGTTAGTCCTGATATCCTAGTCCTTTTAAAGGCCGTGTTGGCACTCACTAAAGGAGCCATGTTATGTTGTCCTGAGCATTCTTGATGAACTGAGAGAAGCAAACATAATTGACACTCGTCTGGCATATGTCGAGACTCGAGATAAATTACTGTTGTGGATTAAACTAGGATGCACGAATCTCTATGGTGTATCCACATCTATTTATACTGTATATCTCATTTGGTTGATGATTACACATGGAATTATTAACTCCGAATTCATTGAACTTTGCAGGCAAGGTAGAGGATGCAAAGAAAGTTCAGACACTCCTCTTCAGTGCCACCTTACCAGTCTGGGTGAAGAATGTTCGTTTCTTTACTGATATCTATTATTTTGATCTCTGTATTGAAGTCAGAATTGCAACTTTTATTGTGTTTGCTGTTGTTTATCTCTCTCTATTTTTCTGTCTGTTTGTCTGCCTTTGTATGCAATATTTGTGATCTGGTTTTGGATGTCTACAGCAACACTTCTTATCCATCTTGCACGCTTCTTTCTCCCATCTAAACTGGAACTTATGTTTGCATTGCCAGATTTCTTCTAGGTTTCTGAAACAAGAGAAGAAAACCGTAGATCTTGTTGGTAATGAGAAAGTGAAGGCTAGTACCAGTATTCGCCATATTGTTCTTCCCTGTTCTAGTTCAGCCAGATCCCAGCTTATTCCTGATATTATTCAGTGTTATAGCAGGTTGGTTGTTTCTAGTACTGTATAGTTGCTAATTGATTTTTTTTTAACGTTATTTATAAAGTTACCGAATAATGCTTTTCATTATTTTCCCTATGCAATGATTTTAATTCAGTGGTGGCCGCACTATTATCTTTACTGAGACAAAGGATTCTGCTTCTGAACTTGCTGGCTTGTTGCCTGGAGCGCGCGCTTTGCATGGGGACATCCAGCAGGCTCAGCGTGAGGTAAATCTATTGTTGGAGCAGAAAATTGTAATTCTTTCTTCCCGATCGGATTGTGTGAGCTAACAGTTTGTCTGTGTTTCATCTAAAGTATTTACATTTTGTTACCTAAAGTCATTAGTTCCTAGGAAGATGAGGTACAACCAAGCCTTTTTTTTAGTTGCACTTTTGAAAAGCTTGTTAAAATGCAAAGTAGCAGAAGTGGTTATTTATTTATTTTATTTTATTTTATTGTTTCCGCTCTTGAGCATGGACACCACCTGGGCTGCAAATCCTTGCACGGCAGCTAGGGACTGGCTAGATTAATTGGGTGGGGAGATACTTTCTTAGTAGCTAATGACATGATTTTTTCTTCCAAGACTGTATTCGTAGATGTAGTTCTTTCCAAGCTGGATAATTTTGTCAGAGGGTTTGGCTTAAATGACGTCACTAAATTTTATTTTATTTTATTTTTTTTAATTGATCAAAAGTTGTATAAATAACTTCTCATTTTTGTTAAAGTTTTCTATACAACTCAGGATTTTTATTTGTAGTGTTTTTCTGTTAAACATGAAAATAAAAATGAGCACGATGGTCACTGTAGTTTCCCCTTTAAACCAAACTTGTTTCTATCCCCTTGTTCAGTTAACATAATTTTACAATAATCTCCGATGAGACAAATGGATTTTAATAATTTATGCATACTTTTCACTAATGGATTCTTAATGTGATTTAATGTTTCCAGGTCACACTTTCTGGATTTAGATCAGGGAAGTTCATGACATTAGTGGCCACAAATGTAGCAGCACGGGGATTAGACATCAATGATGTCCAATTAATTATCCAGGTATATCTTCTTAATACATGGATGTAGACTTCTGTTGGTCATCATTTGTTCTCAATTATATGTTTAGAATATACTGACATTAGTCTTTGTGCTTTAGTGTGAGCCTCCACGTGATGTAGAAGCGTATATTCATCGATCTGGACGGACTGGGAGAGCTGGTAAATACTGAAATTTTGTATTTCTCTGATGTTGAATTGGAGGGATTTTGAATGGTTGAATGTATGGAATTGGGTTCCATTTAAATTGAAAGATTTCAAATGAATAGATTTATGTTCAATTGCATAAGAAATATAACTAATGAGTTTGAGAGGATTTGAAACAAATAGATTTGAGAGAATTATATGTGGATTTCAAATACCAAGGAGCAAGGAGTTAATTGAAATTCATGTCGTAATCCAATGCCTTCAATCTAACATTGCTTTGAACTTCAAAATCCAACTTCAAGAGCCAGCCTTTTTTGTAAACTCAAAAACTTAAATTCCTTGATCTCTAATTCATTCGTTTATCCAAATGAACCCTCAAGTTATTTTAATAAAATTTTCCAGGAAATACGGGGGTTGCTGTGATGCTTTATGATCCAAGAAGGTCTAATTTTTCTAAGATAGAAAGAGAATCTGGTGTGAAGTTCGAGCATGTATCTGCTCCTCAGCCACTTGATATTGCCAAAGTTGCTGGTGTAGAAGCAGCAGAGACAATCACCCAAGTCTCTGATAGGTATGATTGTCATTTGTACTTTCTGATGGATGCATCATTCTGTGTGTCAGCTCCACATATTTATCTGTACGCTTAAAATCTGTAGTGTTATTCCGGCCTTCAAGTCTGCTGCCGAGGAGCTATTGAGTACCTCTGGTCTATCACCTGTGGAACTGCTTGCAAAAGCACTTGCCAAGGCTTCTGTGAGTTTATTTCATCATCCTTTTCTTCGTTTTGAACATCAATTTCTTGCTGTGGTAGGAAAAATGGGCTTACCGTGTGTTGTGCAGGGTTATACCGAGATTAAGAGGAGATCACTTCTATCTTCCATGGAGAACTATGTTACAGTACTTCTTGAGGCTGGCAGACCCATTTACACACCATCGTGAGCACATGAAACCCTTTTATTTCTGTTTTGACATCTTATACAACACATTGTGTGTACCACCAATGGCTGTAACCTAGTGGTATCTCCTCTACTTCTCAAAGTGAGAGGTGTGGGTTCAAATGCTGCCCATATGGGCAAAACTGGTGAGTTTCTTGCCTAGGGGAAAAAAAAAACAAGAGCACTAGTTTATGTGAGTAAGATGTTGATGGTGGTCTTGGTTTTAGGCCATTTGAGATCATGCCTTGGTGAACTTAAACCAAAATCATCTGAAATAGAATTATGATGCTTGAGGTTCGACCAACATGCATATGCAATTGCCTATCTCAGCAAAAATGAAAGTTCTAAGTTACATTAGCTTATGCTGTATTATGAAAAATTGTTGTTGATCCTAATCTTGTTGAATTTCTAAAGTAAAATTTTGAACTATGTAGCTCCAAATCAGTGATAGCAGCACATAAAAGTGATAAAGAGTCCTTGCTTCTTGCACGGGTCTCAAAAGCAAGTCATTAACATGAAGATCTAGTTTTTGACAATGATTTCAAATCTCTATGTTTTGAACCTCAAGATCAAATTTTGACGACCCACTTTTGGAAGGAATACTATTTGATAGAGAAATTGTTACATGGTCCTGGCCAATCACAACCCTACAAATGTTTCAGGTTTATTCAGTTTTTTGCTTGCGTGTCAGTTGTGATTGGTCGGGAAAATGTAATAATTTCTCCTATTTGATAATATGCGTAATTTTCTGTGATAGGGACCTGTAATCTTGTGTGTCGAGCTGTGATTGGCCACAAGAGGTCTTGTAGTCCCGGACCATGTTATGATTTATTGTATTTGATAATATGCATAATTTTCCATGATAAGACATGTAATATGATGAATTAGGAGGGGGTTGGGTTAGTAAATCCAACTCTCTGTTGCTTTTGGCCATTAAATTGTTAATTCACATCTGAATTTCTTTCCCCTTTTTTTGTTGATGTGGTTTGTTTTAGCTTTGCTTATGGTGTCTTGAGGAGGTTTTTACCAGAGGAGAAGGTTGAGACAGTTAAGGGTATTGCTCTCACAGCTGATGGGAAAGGGGCTGTCTTTGATGTGCCTTCTGAAGATTTGGACACGTTTCTTGCTGGTATGATGTTCTCAAATTTCTGCATGATTAGTTTGTGATGTAACAAGAGAATATAGTGTGCACAAGCTAAGTTAAAACTAACTAATAGAGAAAAATAATCAAGAATACAATAGTTTATAGTGAGGAGATGAAAAAAAAACTCAGTAACTATAGGGTTTCAATGAGAGCTAAGGAAGCTTTCGTTACTGAGACTCGAACAAATTGAATAACAATGGTGCTCAGACATTCTTTTTAAGTTGGATTTATAGCTGTTATGAAACCTTATGTTTGCATAATAACAAGATATTAATACCCATACTTAAGTGACTCAAATGATTGACACGTGGCTTTTGACAAAAAAAAAAAAAAGGATAGTAATTACTGTCTTAACAATTGGCAAAATATGTAGTTATAAAACATACAGCTCAGTGGACCTGCCTTTCTAGTTTCTAGCATGCCTTGTGTTGCTGGGAAATGTCCAAAACCTTTCTCGAGGCTTTCACCTGCAGTTGCATTAGTTTATATGGGTGTCAAAAGCCCAAACACAAACAAGTTTACCGTTAATTATCTGGCCTGTGGCCTGTCGGATGCTCTTTCGTCAGAATGCCTGGGTACGAAACTTCGGACCACCTTCTAATGGAACCTTCTGTTGGATCTATTTTCAATTATGTGGCAAATATATTCTGGTTATCAACAGTTAACCACTGTTGATAAGAAATGCTTGCTTGCATAATTTCTTACACAATTATTTCAGAGTTTTTAACAACCATGTTTTAAATTGTTGTTTGGCTTTAATTTTGATTATTGCTCTATTTAATTTGTATACTTATACAAGACTGCTTGTTCCTTTTGTTTTGCTTTTGTGGATGTTCAGGCCAGGAAAATGCTGCAGGTGTGAGTTTAGAGGTGGTGAAAGAATTGCCAGATTTGCAAGAAAAAGAGCAGTCAAGAGGTGGTCGATTTGGTGGTGGTGGCCGCGGTGGATATGGTGATAGGAGAAATGGTGGTAGGTTCTCAGGAGGAAGAGGTGGGAGGGGTGGTTTTTCTGATCGAAGGAACAGCAGTGGAGAGAGAGGTCGCAAATGGTAAAGCACTCTGGAACTGGTGCACAGAAGCATTGGATTGTTGTAGGGCAAAACTTATTCTGCGATAATGAAGAAAATATTTCATATTCGGCCCAATGAATTGAAAAGCTGAATATGATTGTTTTCATATTTATTTATTTTCACATCTTTTTTCATTTTCTGGGGTTTTTCCCACCGTCCCCAAATTTTTTTGCCAATTTTGCTTGGGAATATTAGAAAGATGATTGTTAAGCGTGTAATCACATTTTCGATAAATGTATTCCGAGTTATTTAGTTAGCACCAGTGGACACTGGACAATTTGATCGTTTTAACATTGATGCACCATACCAATAAAAAGAAGTTTAAAATGGAGGTTTGGGTTTTGTGGAGATAATGGTTACAAGTATATCATAAACTTCTAAAATGCATTCCTACTGCCAAAAAGATACAAAAATATATATATGTTTTAGGGTACATATTCAATTTGGTTCTTAGTGGAGAGTGAAAGTAAAATGATCTGTCTAACATGAAATTTTTTTTTTTTTTGGGAAAATTATGAAAATCTATCCTTTTCTGATTTGAATAGTGTTATCAGAAAGGGCATTGGTATTTCTAGAAACCCAAATTTCCTGCAAGTTATGTTCTCTCTTATGATGGTTTTTTTAATTTTTTTTTGGACAATACTTGCCTACTTATGAGTAGGCAATTTCTACGTATGTGTCATAATTTAAATTATGACAAGTGTCTTAGAATTTTTAAAATATAAATATAGCAAAAATAGATTCAGAACTAATTTGACCCATTTTTAATTGGATTAACATATTTTATACAAATCAAATGTCTCGTACACAGTGAGCACTGTATATTTGATTTATATATCGTATACATCCTTGACCATTATCCCTATAAAAAAATAAAAATAAAAATAAAAATTTGAATTGAGATCTAGCAATAATGTTTTGAGGGGTTGATTTTGCTCTCTACCTTTTCAAAGTGGAGAATATGTGATTGATATGAAGAATCATTGCTAGAATCATAAAATGCTTCCGGTTTGTGCTTAAAAAAAAAATTCTTACACTTCTCTTGTCCAACTTAATTAGGATTGTTGCACTGAGAATGAGGATTACTTTGGAAGCGGAGGTGAATGAGAATTTTAATAACATGATTTTTGTTTTGTTTATATATATATATATAGTTATGGTGGAACCCAAATTTTGATCTTTCAATTCCAAAGAACAAAAATAATGTATTATTTTAGGAAGATCTTGTTTTTGGAAGGCATTGTTTTAGGAAGTTTGAATCCTAATTTCTTTTTACCTTAAAAACTAATTTTGTATATATATATGTGCAAGTGTGTGTATGGATATATATGGAGAGAAAGATGTGGTTAACCTAATTAAAATAGATCAAATATGTTCTAATTCTATTTTTGTTATATTTTATAAAATTTAAAATGCTTGTCATAATTTTATTATACCAACTATTGAGTTCGTAGAAACTTTCTAATTCACTGATGAGGCAAGTATTTTCTTCTTCTTCTTCTTCTTCTTCCTTTTTCTTTTTCTTTTTCTTTTTTTTTTTTTTTTTTTTTCAAATGTATTAGTTTCAAGAGGCCGGAGCTCAATACATACGAGACATTGCATACATGTCATACACGTATACCCCGATTCAATTTCCTCCGCTGATTCGCTTCAAGTCTGCACCAAAACTTGTTCTGACAACTTCCAGACACTTCCATAGCCTTCGGCCTCCTCCACTGGAAGCACGCGCGCGCACACACACCCAATACTTTTCTCAGTCGCAATGTCGCATCTCTTTCTCCCCTAGTCCCTTATGATTCTCTCTCTTCATATTCTTTGAATGCTTCATCAGACACTTGCAGCTATTGGAACTGCGATTAGCCAGGAGGGGTTTTTTTGTATAGGAACATGGGATGGTATAGAAGATCAAAGTTCGCTTTCGATGCGTTTCGCAGTTTTGCTTCAAAGATTGTGCCCAAAAACCCAAGTCCAGACTCGATTTCCAGAACAAACAGGTACACTTCATTGATACCCAGTTTGGGTAAATCCAAAGTTTCGGGTTTATCTTTTTCTTCTCCGATTTCTAGAAACCTAGGTTTTGAATTTGGGACAAAACAGAGCCCCTATAACCCTTTTCTTGGTGCTGCGAGACGACATTACTATGTCGATCGATACCAAGTTCACCATTTCCGGCCGAGAGGGCCTCGAAGATGGTTTCGGAATCCCAAGTATGTGTTGACTGTTGTGTTGCTTGGGTCTGGTGTAGTGATTACGGTGTATTTTGGGAATTTAGAGAATGTTCCATACACAAACAGAAAACATTTCGTGCTTTTGTCACGAAGCGCCGAGAGACAGATTGGAGAGGCTGAATTTCAGAAAATGAAAAAAGCATTCAGGGGAAAGATACTGCCGGCCATACATCCGGAAAGTGTTCGGGTTCAGTTGATTGCGAAAGATATCATAAACGCTCTGGAGAGAGGGTTGAGGACAGAGCAGGTGTGGACCGATCCTGGGTATGCGGATAGTGGTGGGATGCATGAGAGTGGTGGTGAGCATGAGACTTTGGCGGCATTGATTGATAGTCCGGAAGGAAAGTGGCATAGAGAAGATGAGATTCTTGACGATAGTTGGGTTCAGCAGAGCCGGAAGAAGGGGAAACAACGTGGGACAAAACCGTCAACCGGGCATTTGGAGGGATTGAATTGGGAGGTGCTGGTTGTGAATGAACCTGTTGTCAATGCCTTTTGCTTGCCAGGTGGGAAGATTGTTGTGTTTACTGGGTTGCTTGAACATTTTCAAACAAATGCAGAAATTGCAACTATTATTGGGCATGAGGTATATTGTTGTTTAGGCCTTTACTACTATAGACATTGTAACTATATTGAGGTACAAGTTTGGGAGAATTATACACGCCAATTTAGATTTCTATGAAGTTTATGTTTTTTTGCACACTTCTCTTGATAGGTGGGGCATGCTGTGGCTCGCCATGCGGCCGAAGGAATTACAAAAAATCTATGGTTTGCGATTCTACAATTGATTCTTTATCAGTTCATTATGCCTGATCTTGTCAACACAATGTCAACTCTTTTGCTAAGGCTTCCGTTTTCACGGAGGTACGTTCTTATTGCAGTTTCGTTTGAATCTTTCACAGTGTTACGTGTTTCATTCATAAATTGTTGCTGAACATTACTGCCGGAAATTTGTGCTAGATTATGAACTCATACTGGTTGTTGACTTTTTATGTTATGCTTGGTTTCAATTTTCCAATCTATTCCAAAATATAAGTTCCTGACCTGAAATTAAATTCATCAATATAAACTGTGTGTCTATTAAAGAATTTAAAATATTTCCAAGAGCAATTAAGAGACCAAGAAATGTGATGATATTAAAATTTAAGAATATGCAAGTCTTGAAAGCGGTCGAAATTTCCTGTGGCATTCACTAGTAGTGTGCAGTTGTTACATGTCTAAGCATCGGTTTTATCAAATCCCCAGGTCCAAGAATACATTTACAAAATATTTTTGATACCCTTGTTATTAAAGCATAATTGGTGCTTTATGTAGCGTCGTGTTTAATATGCTTTTTTACTCATTATGAAATAATAATATAATAGAATTATATAACAAGAGAGTTATATATCTATATATATGTATCTATACTAGTATTAAACAAGAAAAGAAGATAAATATTTGACCAGTCATGTAGGATTGATACTCAAAAGTGTGTTATATCCGCCATGGATATTTCATGCATTTAGAAGGGTCCCATCTGACATAGTATATTCTTTTCTTATTTACTTCATAGACTTTTTGTGAATTTCTCTCTTGGCATTGTTGTTGTTGTATTTTTATTTTTTTTGCATAAGTACCGCCTAGTTGTGCACTAGGGGGTTAGTGAACCCACTCTACAGTCTACCCGGGTTTTTTCTTACACTGTTGAAAGACAGGAAAAGTTACAGTAACAACTAAGAGAAAATTATGAGATCTCAATCCGTTAGGTTCTTCGTTGTTTGGTGGGCATCAAGAAATAGAAAAGCCAGGTAAATCAAGGGGTGAAAAATGCGAAGCCGGTTAATCGTCGTCTTGCCAACAAGGCTGACATCGGTGCGACCCAACCTCAAGCGGCGGATCCCATCGACCTACTTCTACACTCGCAGGACGGACGTCCAGCTTAATGTCTTCCGGCTTGCCCGAATCACCCTCCCAGTTGCATATACTAATGTTTCATTGTAAAGGGGAGAGTGAAGGGCAGTGGGACACATGTTAGAATGCCGGGATGGAGAAACAAACAGGAGCATCTCAGACAACTGGCGAGTCTAGAGAGGAGCAGCTCTTTAATGCTATGTATGCTGTTGTGACTGTAAAAGCCCTTTCTCCTTAGCTAACTGAACTGATATATACAACCGATTCTTAGAACGTGCATCACACATACAAGTCCTATCCTATGTAAAAAGACCTTCTAATTTACATATAGCTGGATAGACAAAGGAAGAAAAGAAGATATATAACGGGTAAGAATGGCAACAATGGTTCCAAAAGGAACTTTGGAAACTAGCAACATTTTTTCATTTTTTTTCGAATACATAACGGATTACACAGAAATAATGCAACTTTTGGAACTGAGTGTCTTTTGGCAATTAACCAATGGACATTTTTAGTTGCTTTTTGAATGCATAATTGACTTTGTATGTAAAGATAGAATGTGACTTTTGGAAACTCATTGAGTTTTGTGATGAGATGGGAGCGGACTTTTATTTTTAATCTTTGTATACCTGACTTTTAGGAGAAGTAGCGTCTTTGAGAGGTGATTTACGTTAAATTGATAATTGTTAGTGAACCATTATGTAGTTTAAAGGAAAAATATTAATAATTTTTATATATATGGATATAAAAGAGAAAACCTATAGTCTTTTACTAGCAGTGTAGATATTGACAACACTACCACTGGCTTCTTATTTGACCAAAACAAGGCATTGGGAGTGTCCTTGTGACATAGTCAGCCTATGATCTATGAACTCTTGTCACAATTTTTTGATTTGGCATGAACACTTATTAGACATAGCAACTCTCCACATCTAGATGGAGAGAGATGGTTATAATAAAAAATATATATCATACAGAAGAACCGTACAGTCGAACATATTGCAGTTGGAGCTTCTTAAAATTTCTATTTATTATTGTTTCTCTTATTTTATTTTATTTTATTTGGACAAAAGTTCAATGGTGCCTCGTACCCTGCATGTGCTCTAAGTAACTAAGGTGCATGGATTAAATGGCCAAATGATTTTGGACACATCTGCCTTAGACTGCATCTGTGTGTTTTCACGACAATTGGCAATTGACAAACTTCCATTTGGGGTTATCATAAGGTTAGGAACTTTTGGATAAGAAAACACTAATCTCAGTCATAAATTCTTGGAGTATTGAGCTTTCTACACAGATCATTCATGGCTTTGTAGTGTGAGGAGTTGTGGACTTGATTGCTCGTTAATGTATTGGAAGTTAGGAATTGTGTATTGTGATATGGATCATCTTGCAGCCTTCCGATGAATGCATGCTCAGAGATTTTTGGTTTTATTTATATATTAAATTATTTTGCTTCTGTAATCATATCCTCCTTGTGGTCACTAACCACATCTGGGCCCTTGTTGTACATAAAATTATTGACTATTGTTGCCTCCTTTATTGCAGCTTTAGCAAGCTTCTCCTATTGCTTGAAGCATCTTTGGCATTTACTATATATTGTCTCAGTAATTAAATCTACTCTAGGATTTAGCGTCATTTCAATTTACTTGCTATAGTCACTGGGCGGCACAAATTCTTTTTGCCTCACCCTGTGTATCAATTTTTAAAAAACAATTGTGGCCATGTGGGGCACCCTTAAGGGCCTTAACCATGTCTATCTATGGACATTTATGGTTTGAATTTCGTTAGCTTTTTGATGCTGGAAATTATCATTTTATTTTATGAATAAGGAAACCCAAAAATCATGTTAAATATTGAAAATCTTGTTGTACCATGGAAAGGGGGTTAAACACTCTCAAGTTCATCTGTGAATGACCATATTACCGAACATGGGCTTAATGAGTCTTTGATTCTATGATAGCTATTGGTGGGTTAGTAGTTATAACCCTGGGAAAATCAAAGTGTTCACCTTATCAGTGAGACCAAACTAACATATTTGAATTGGATACATTATTAGACTATATAGGAGGAGCAAATGTTAAAATTTAACATTTTTTTTGATAATTGAATGTTGAAATTTAACATGGTTAGCCCCTTGAAATTTATTTGAGTTTAGGATTCTATCGTGTAACATTAGTAATAAACTATTTGGTTCATATGACAACCTCCCTTGAGATTTAGCGTATATCATTGACCTCTCTAATGGTGTAGCAGACTAAGAGATACCTATCCTTTTTATTATGGGATATATGATCAAGAGGCAGCTATCTATCTTGTGATGATTCTGGTGTTGTAGAATTTTTAGTGAGTAAATTTACTTTAATACATTTATAATTTAATTTATTGATTGGGAAGACAATTATACTTTAGAACGAGGAGAATTTGCGTATATTTACTTACTGTGATAAGTTTCTAAGTAGGTCAGGTGCTGCCTTTTTTTTTTTTCGCCTTTTGAGGGCAAGCTTTTCAGTGGATGAATATTAATTATTTTAAAACTTGAATTTGTGTCGGTCAATGTACTTTTCTATAAAGTAAAATAAGAAACCTTCCACTATTGCAGTTTTATGAAATGCAGGTTCTCTATGGCTCTCTGGGTAAGAGAGGTCTCTGCACTGACCATTGAACAGCGAATGCTTAACAGTGTAATGTTGGGGACAAAAGCAATCCAAGAATGTGCGTTTGGTTACTAAGAAAAACGGATTCTTAATAGGGGTATTGGGTGGTTTGAGGGGCAGAAAGAAGGTGCCTCAGAATTGCCTTCGTATCAAGCTTTAGTCACTTTTGATAAGTTGTGAGGCATTAACTAAAGGATGTACTTTTGATTAGTTGTACTTTTGATTAACTAAAGTAGTCTCCCATCCAGTAAAAGTATTTCATGTGTGAAAAGAAAAGAAAGTACCGTCTGTCACCCGTGCCACTCATTCTTTTCTTCTTTGTTATTGCTTCCAGATATAAAACCTTAATACACACACACACACACACATACACACACTTGTGTATATATATATATATATATATAATATACCAACATCCTGATATGTATAAGTGTCTATAGATATGGGGTAACTTCCACAAAACACCCCTATTGTATACAAATTGTTCAAATAACCCCCCTGTACTATCAGAAGTATATATAAATCTTCGTCTATCAGAATATACGCATTTTGATGAGCTGCTTTAAAGCCCCTAAAAGGTACATGCTGCGCTATAATTTGAAAAAAAAAAGAAAAAAGATGCAATTAACTACCCTCCGTTACATGACCGTTACGATTTAGCCGTTAAGTGCATCACGTGAACTAGGAAATGATTTAAAAACCCCAAGATTCTCTTTTGTTGTTACAAAAGTACCCCTCCCTATTTACTTATCCAAAAAAAAAGGTACCCCTCCCTATTTAGCTCTCTTTAGTTGCAGATATATATCAATATATATATATGTATATGTATATTTATGTACTTGAGTGAGCTGTTATCTCTCTCTGTTCTCCCTCCCTGTTGTCTCTCTTGCTTCGATTTCTCTCTCTGTTTTTGTGATTTCTCCTCTTTCTCTCACTGTTGCCGATTTCTTCTCCCCTTTGTGTGTTGCAGATTTGTTGGTGTGGTTTCTCTTATAGATGCTTATGTATCTCTGTGTGTGGATATATATTTATCTGTGATTGCCAAAGATGGTGGGAGTGACTAGTGACAGTTTAAAATCACCATCGTCACCCATCAAACACCCAAATCAGACCCATCACTCACCAATTAACACTCGCTTTCATGGCTAAAACCACTGATCTGACCCACCCACGTATTGACCCCACACAAACTGGGTGAATCAATGGTTGGTATATCTTGAAAGAAAGGATTTTGTCTAATTCAGAGAGACAAATTAGATAGCCAAAAATTTGGTAGCCATGGACAAATGGTTGATGTGGAGCAGAGGATGAGACGTTAACCGTGGCGACTAATGACTGTTATAGTCATGTAGGGGTAAATTGGGATTGGTCATTGGAGGTGATGTGGGGTTGAGAGAGAGAAGATGTAGGGTTATATTCAAAGTTTATGGGTCTATTTGGATTTTCGCAGGACTACGTTCTAACTTTTTTTACCTTATCTATTAAACCAAGTTAGTTTTTGTCCTCTTTTTTCTTTTATGTTTTTTTGTTTTTTATTCATATAACATAAGGCTGAAAATGTAATTTACCTGCTCCGTTAACAGCAGGTTAACACCAGGGGCTTATTTGAACTGGGGGGTAATTACAAACTAGAGGGGGTTATATGCACTATATGTATACCATAGGGGTGTTTTATGCAATTTACCCCTATATATATGCAATGGTTGGTATATCTTGAAAGAAAGGATTTTGTCTAATTCAGAGAGACAAATTAGATAGCCAAAAATTTGGTAGCCATGGACAAATGGTTGATGTGGAGCAGAGGATGAGACGTTAACCGTGGCGACTAATGACTGTTATAGTCATGTAGGGGTAAATTGGGATTGGTCATTGGAGGTGATGTGGGGTTGAGAGAGAGAAGATGTAGGGTTATATTCAAAGTTTATGGGTCTATTTGGATTTTCGCAGGACTACGTTCTAACTTTTTTTACCTTATCTATTAAACCAAGTTAGTTTTTGTCCTCTTTTTTCTTTTATGTTTTTTTGTTTTTTATTCATATAACATAAGGCTGAAAATGTAATTTACCTGCTCCGTTAACAGCAGGTTAACACCAGGGGCTTATTTGAACTGGGGGGTAATTACAAACTAGAGGGGGTTATATGCACTATATGTATACCATAGGGGTGTTTTATGCAATTTACCCCTATATATATAGATACACGCTTGTGAAGTTGCTTCTATTGAAGCTCAGAGAACCTCCACATTCTCTGCAGGGAAGCTTGGGGAGCCACCATCGGTTCTCTGTTATCAACCATGCAACTCCCTCTCTCTCTCTCTCTCTCTCTCCTTTTGAGCGTTTTTATAAAATCTTACCTATAAAAAAAAAAAAAAAAAAAATTGTTGTTAATCGTCATAACTCTCTGTCCTCTCCATAATCATCACCCAAAAGAGAATTTCAGTTTCTTTACTGATTACAATAGTGTTTCCTTGTCTGCAAATCTTCTTTCTCCCATCAAATCACTTCCAGCGACCTTTGCGGCCGCGAACCACCATTGCTTTTCACTTTTCCAATCAAGGATGTAATGCTACAAATTCTAAACAACAGATCAATTGCGCAGCTCAAAGCCATCATGTGGTCTCCATTCAATCATAAGATCCTTAGACTAACAATATTCCTTGCATAGCCGTTGTGCTATAAATCCCATGCATATCATACGATTCAGTCTCTTATACAAACCCAAATTCATCAATCAACTAGGCTCACATTATATGTTAATTGGTTGGCCAAATTTATATTTTAGGAGGTTATTTGCAAAAATGTGATTTTTTTGGGGTGTGTGTGTGTTGGGGGGAGGGAATAATTTTTTGGGTGGTTAATTTTCCCTGAAATTTACTTCACTATTTGTTCTCATCATTCTTAGAATATTTTTTATTTTTTATTTTTTGACAAAACAAAACATTGTTTCATGGTGGCTAGGTGATTATGTTGGTGCTTAAACTTTTAGATGCAAGGAACAAATGACAACTTGGTATGCTTAAGACCACATCCAACGTAATGAATTTTATTTTTATTTATTTATTGTGATGTAGCGGGCAATTGCATTCCCCTGTATATTTGTCACTAAATTGACGAATTTTGGATTATTTTGGCTAATAATAATTTCTACATCGTCTAGAATCTATGATATTACATTCTCTCGGATCTCAATGTTCACTTCTTTAACTGAATAATATCAAATAAATTTGAAGCTAACCAAAGGTCCAAAGTGTGGAATTATTTGACCTCTTATTGAATGCTCAAATCCAGTTGTGGAGAGCCTAAATAAAATTGCAACTTTCCTTTATACTTCATTGTTCATGGCAGCCAACAGATCTCTAGTTAAAATCCTCCTTTCTTTTCTGTTTGGTGGTTGGGTTCTTAACTTTTTTATTTTATTATTATTTTTTCCATTGGCAAGAAACACAATTCATACATGCACTCATGCACACTTTTTGCCCACACCTGGGCTCGAACCTCTCCCCTCCTCTTTGAGGATGGGGAGTTGAGGTTATACTATTGGGCTAGATGCCTTTTGGAGATTGGGTTCTTAACTTGCTGATGCTTACATTCTCGCATTCAACTTTTCTTTATTTATTCTTTATTAGGATGGAAATGGAAGCAGATTACATTGGGTTGCTGTTGATAGCATCAGCTGGTTATGATCCTCGAGTGGCACCTCATGTGTATGAGAAGTTGGGGCAGGTTGCCGGGGATTCGGCATTGAGAGATTATCTTTCTACACATCCATCTGGAAAGAAGAGAGCGAAACTGCTAGGCCAAGCCAAAGTCATGGAAGAAGCGCTCGACATATATAGGGAAGTGATATCAGGACGAGGAGTTGAGGGTTTTCTTTAAAACTGCTCAGATACAATATGATGTGAGAGTCCTAGCTAAGCTCTTGCAAAGCAGAGGACAGTCTGCAGTGTGAAAAAGTTTCCCCGCGACTCTTTGAAATTAACCCCTCTAACTTTATAACTTAAACGTGTCCAGTTTTAGTTTCAACTTCCAGATGTAATTTCCATTTCTGCAACTTCAAAATTCTTTGTTTTAAACCCATTTTCCCCTAAATTTCCATTTTGCAATGTTAAGACATTTGCTGCTTTGCTTGTTTGAAGATTTAGAAGTGTAGAGTTTGGTATGCTTTGGGGACATCATCTGCATTTTATTGGACAGTTATGGTAGTTCGTAAAGTATAGCAGTAGTTCATAAAGTATGGCGATTGTGGAGGTTAATCATCTGAATTTTATACGAGTTTAGCTTTTTCTAGTTGCTGTTTATTTGCGGAGAAGCAGTGTCATAATGTGTGCTTAGATATTTCAGTCTTAAAAATTCGGAGGCTGCTCTGCTCATGCCATGGTACACGGTAATGTGCCAATGTTTGATAATAGGGATCCTAACTATGAGATTCGGATTCGCATTGTAGGAGTTGTTGGTGCACCTTGCACGCTACATCATTGGTATACTTACTCAATAACAGTGCACTATTTTCAAAAAATTTCGTCAACCTAGTTTTAAAATCGTTGATAACGGGATAATGTTATATTGGTTGGATGGGTATATACTAATGGCAAGACCTAATATTTATTCTCATCTGGTGAGGTATGGATAATATATAGATATGCATGTCAGAAACTTGATGAGGCCGGTTGGAGAATTTATTAATCACCAAATCATGGTAGTGCTATTTATGTAGATTTGTGTCATCAATTTTATGTAGTCCTTTCAGTACAAAACATAGTGCGAGAAGGTACAGATATTCGGTGGTCCGGATGGGTTCATTACTCGGATGAGCTCAGTGCATGATGCTGATGTATTTGGCGCACCCAATAATATAAAAAAAGAACATTATGTTATAGTTTGGGAATACCGAATCTCCAATCCCAAATTCAAGGAGAAGTACACACACAGGCACCAATGGAATTTCATAAACGTAGAAGACTCCATGTTTTATAACTACCTGACTAGTAATTCAATATGAATAAACTCAGGTGACCTTTTTTGCCATATAGAAAAGACAATTTGAGTCACCTGAGTTGGATATATTTAAGGACTTAAAAGGCCCTTCACAGTTTTCTTCCGCTATATGTTTTGACCATAGCTTAAGCACAGCAACCGAAATGACTGATCTGATGGCATGCATCCGTTGGCAATACCTCATTATATTGTTGTTGTTTAAGGTCATTCCTCTCGTATAATTTTCTTGATCCAGTACTACTTGTGACCATAACTAAGGAGGTTTTATTTGGTTGTCTAACCATGGCCGTGAGTTTTCATTCGTCATATTCATATACTTTATTTAGCCTTTTCAAATACTTCTGCATTTGTGTCAAAAAAAAAAAAAAAAAAAAAAAAAAAGAAGAAGAAGAAGAAGAAGAAGAAGATGATTAATTACAAAGGTTTGCCATATTAACAGCCATATATAACTTAATTCATTTTTTAACAAAAACACCTCAAACATGATGAAAGTATATGTTTACCCTTTGATAACGTAAAATGACCAAATTACCCTCATTCAAAAAATCCCTCTTCCAAAATTTCCATTCCTCCCATTCATTCCCTGTGAGCCCTTCTTTCCCGCCGTCCATCAAGCCGCCACAGCCCACAGCCGAGCTTATCACCGTCCCGCTGTCACCCTCATTCGAGCCATCCACAGGCGCAATCTATTACCCTCCTTGAGTCACATATGGATCCGGCAAACAGGAGAAATGTGCCAGCTGAACCAATCGCCTCAGTTAATGTCAAGAACGTCTCACTTACGATGAGATTGGAAATCCAGTTAGAAACTGCAGCGATTCCTCTACAAATGCCTCGGTATTTCAATGGGTATATCTCTGAGTTCACAATCCAAGGTGCAGTTCCCATAACAAGAACTGCAAAAATCCGAAATTTGCTTGGACAACCATTTGTATACCAGGTACGGTTTTCTGCACCACATGTTCTTTTGGTAACATCATTTGAAGCTAAGCACGCCCACGGATGATACTAATAATAATAATATAAAAAAAAAAAAAAAAAAAAACAACTTTAATCAGTAATATACCATGGCAGAGAAAACTAGACGAAAGTTCATTAATAATGGAAATGTAATAGGCATCTCAATGTTATATGTTTCAAAAATTTTGAGGGTAACAGATTGCAAAAATGTTTGTATAGTAGTATATGTTGAAAGAGGGGGAAAAAATGAAGTACCAAAGTACTATGTTGATTGATAACGCATGAAAGGTTGAAATAGATTTCTAAATGACCAAAGGGGCGAGTATGGAGAACGAACTTGATTCACTCCATTAGCACAAAATGCACCATCCGAGGATGCTTTCAAGCACGTCATACAATTCCAAGACGATGCATCTGGAGCCGTCACATTTGATTATTAGAATCAAAGCCCCAATATTTCAGTTAGTGTAATGTAGATTATTGAGTCAATTTGAAGATAGATGGAGCTAGGGTTTGGGTGAAAAAAAAATTGTAGAAAAAATAACAAGGGTGGTGCATAGTGTGTGGAGATGATGGTGAATGGGTAGAGAGAACTCCATCTTTTCCGGCGTATTCCATTCTTGCCGTTGTTTGCTTGGAGCATAAAGAGGTTAGAGAGAGAGAGTACAGGGTTTGAGAGAGCTCGCTGCCATCATCCGCAAGCTCACAGCCGAAGCCACAACCAGCCCATCGCCGTCACAGCCAGCCCATCTCCACGTCGGGGTTCACAAGCCGCCTTCGCCATCATCCACGGCCGAGTCCACCGCCGCTGCCATCTCGTCACGAACCAGACCATCACGGCTAAGTCCTCCCCACAGCCCATCGCCGGCACCACCTTGCCCGAACCAGCCCGTCCTCACCGTCCGATCTCTTCACCGTCCGTGCATTTTGGGTGGACGGCTATGGAGCACATTTTTTTGTCAAATATTTATTCATAAGGCTGTGTTTGGTCAAGAGGGACGGAAAGAGAAACGACAGAGAGAGAGAGATGAGATGAGATGAGATCAGATGGTAGTTTGGCCATTTTAGGTGAGGATTAAAATATATATAAAATATATATTAGGGCATATTAGATATTTTGGCTCTGTTTTTTTAAAAAGGGGTGTCATTGTTCAAGTTTGCAAATTTAGAAGGTGTTTTTGTTTAAAAATAGACTAAGTTGTATATGGCTGTTAATATAGCAAATTTCGTGTCGTTGTAATTGATCCAAAAAAAAAAAAAAAAAAATGTCAAAAAAAAACTTTTGCATTTAATCTTCAATGGAAGGCTGGTCAGGCCACTGCGTCAGAATTTCGAGTAGTGTAAATTATTCATAAAGAATGATACTTCTGTCTACAAATTAAGAACATGTCATGAGGCACATAACAATATTCTAATCTTAGGCCGAGGTCAACACATCAAAATCAAACCACTTGAAACCAAAATGAGACAACCAGCTGTTTCCATAAGAGCCCACCATTCCTCCATGTCTGGCTCTCCGACCTTTAAAAATTGCAACCACCAACAAATGTGATTGAAACCAATGGAAAATGATACAAATTCCCATTGGGTATTGTAGCCGACTGATCTGGCATGCATTTAGATAATTACTTTAAGAAAGGAGAGAAGACTGATATAGCATGCATTTAGGCCACGGATTCAAAATAAAAAAATTACACTTGTATGCAGAGACAACGCTCGGTATATCTAATTCTTTATTTGAATCGAAATATTAGACCTAAAACTTTAGTTAATGACTTACTTATCTGTTTTAACTAGGATCCGTATACATCTATGGGATATAACTCATTTGGCTAGTGTTTTAGCATTTTAGGTCTAATTTATGGTCGTGTCTAAGAGCCTTCTTCTGACTCTCCCTTTTCATTGTAAATTCCTTCTTCTATTATCTATTAGTGACTAAGAATTTTTGTAAGACACAAACCCAACAAAACACTAATCCGGCATTGCTCAAACCAAACTATCAAGAGTTTTATTATTATTTTTGCAATGATTAGAGAGTTAGAGTTGGAATATAAATTCTAGAATCAGCACTAAAGGTTTGACCCTTTAGCACTGGAATAACAGTACCCCACACGTGAGGCCATATTTGGTGTGAGTGAATGGAATCAAATGAAGTACGAATAGAATGCTTTTATTTTCATTCTTTAGTTTGGTAACTTATTTTAAAGTTGGAATGATTATTCTTCTCTAAGAATGGTGATTTCCAATTAAAGAAATAACCATTCTATTTCCACTTTAAAAATAATAATAATACTAATAAATAAATGAATAAAAAAAGTTTTTAATAAAATGTCTTTTATATATATATATATATATATATATATATATATATATATATGCATATTTATATATATATTTTACAAAAATAAAATGTTTTTATGTGCAACCAAACATAAAAATGAGAATGGTCATTCTATTCTCTAATTCATTTCATTCCCGTTTTATTTCATTCAACCACACCCAATTAGTCCTAGATTTAGGATATGTAACTAAATAAATTGGTCAATTGGTCCCACGCATGCACGTAATCTGATTGGTTTTGTAGCATTACTCAGACCCATTGAGGTTTGGTACATGTGCCTAATAAAATATTGATCCGACACATGTATGTATTGTGATTGGTGTGTTTGGACCACATATCTTATATTAATCATATATTTGGTCAAATTTTTTTTTACTACAAAGCGGTTTCTAGTTGCTGCTCCGCAGCAGCCAACTGGAAACCAACCGTGTTCTTGAACCAAATGTAGTAATGTGCATTCATCACTAACAAGTCCTCTCATCATTTACAACTTTCATTTAATTGAAGTGACAGGAAAAACTTTGGGCTAGTCCATTTTGACCCTTCCCCATGCCACCCATTAAAGCCCTCCCCAACACCACTCCATTTCAAAAATCAAACACCACTACCTCTCTCTCTCTCTCACACACACACACACACACAAACACACAGACTGTATGGAGCCTCTCTCCAACCCCAACCATGGCTCTCTGATCAGCAGCACCACCACCACAACACTCCTATCAAAGCAAATTCACTCAACCCTCTTGGAGTTCCTGAGGCTCTCTTCTCTCCTACTTGTTCTCTCCATAGAAACCATCTTCATCATACAAAAACAAAAACCCATGTTTCACACGCTCTTACTCTCTTGTTTCCTTCTCTTCTACTTCTTGCAATCTTACCTCTCAAAACACCCACCTGTTTACCTCGTGGACTTCTCATGTTTCAAGCCACCAAACTTCTGCAGAGTCCCATTCTCAACCTTCATAGAACATGCTCGCATGTTCGATTTCTTGGATGAAGAAAGCGTAAACTTCATCGCCAAAGTCCTCACTTCCTCGGGACAAAGCGAAGAGACCTATCTCCCTCCAGCTTTACACTACATCCCACCAAGATCACACCACCAAGAAGCCATCCAAGAATCCCACATGGTCCTCTTCCCTGTCTTCGAAGATCTATTATCAAAAACCAACATCTCGCCTCGCGACATCGACATCCTCATTGTTAATTGCAGTGGCTTTTGCCCTATCCCTTCACTTTCTTCCATGATTGTTAACAGATATTCAATGAGAGATGACATTATGAGCTTCAATCTCACTGGTATGGGGTGTAGTGCTAGTGCACTTGGCATTGATATGGCTCAAAACATGCTAAAAACTCATAAAAATTCTTATGCTGTTGTTCTCAGCACTGAGATCTTATCCACTGGTTGGTATTCAGGAAAAGAAAAGCCTATGCTGGTCCTTAACTGTCTTTTTCGTATGGGCAGTGCAGCTATATTGCTTAGTAACAAAAAAGAAGTGAAAAGATCATCAAAGTATAGGTTGTTTAGGACCCTAAGAACCCAAAGAGCCTTTGATGACAAGGGTTATAACTCGGCCATTCGTGAAGAGGACTCCAATGGGTTGACTGGTGTAACCCTAAGGAGGGACTTATTGCTGGTGGCCGGAGAAACTCTCCGGTCCAACATCGCCATCCTCGGTTCAACAATGTTGCCATTTTTGGAGATGTTTCGATATGGGGTATCCATAATTCGGAAGAAATTTATTGACAAGTCTGTGGAGATTTATGTGCCAGATTTTAGGTCGGTGATACAGCATTTTTGCTTGCCAGTTTCCGGGAAGCCGGTGATCAGAGAGATAGGGAAAGGGTTGAAGCTTGGAGAGAGAGACATGGAGCCTGCTTTGATGACACTGCACAGGTTTGGGAACCAGTCTTCTTCTTCACTGTGGTATGAGTTGGCATACATGGAGGCTAAGCGGAGAGTGAAGAAAGGTGACAAGGTGTGGCAGCTCGGGATGGGGAGTGGGCCCAAGTGCAATAGTTTGGTTTGGGAGTGTATTAGGCCCATTGTTGGGGAGGCCCAGAATGGCCCATGGGCGGATAATATTGATCGTTAATCATGCAAAGCCACAATTAATGGAAAAGTGATGGAGGCTGGTTTTCTCTAACGTTTTTGCATTTAAAGAAGTGTATAATCAGTATTTGGTCCTTTCTGGATAGCAGATTGTGTTGATGTACTTGGCAGAAAAAAGATTGGGTTGGTATAAATTACGTTCGCATTTATGGTCTGTGTCATTTTAATTTTTTTTTTTTTTTTACTTATTTTTTAATCAAGTAACAGTAATGTCCTTAATTTTTTTTTTTTTTTAAGGGTAAGGCAACAAGGTGACAATACTACGATGTAATGAACAATGCTTGTCTTATGCAGCATAAGAAGGAATATGAGATGGTTCAATAAAATATCAATAAGTGTTAAAGTTTTAAAAAAAAAGAAAATGATGACTACAGGAAATATAAACGGATCTTTCTGTCTTTTTCTCTCATGTATCGATATATATTACTTCTATGTTTTGAATCTAAAATCAAATAATATTTTTTGTTTCAGTGAATCGAACCATGTGATTGTGAGTTGAATTAATCAATGGCGACATCTTTATCTCAGAACAAGTAATTCACCATTCCATCGCCGATAATCTTTGAGTCAGTACTCCTCCACATCGATGCCGTCCTTTATGGACAATGATGGTGGTGAGCTAATGTATCGCTCGTGTTCATCTTCGGTGGTGTCGTTTTACGACTCCGACAATAAGTTCAACTCCAAATCCATGAAATCGAGTTGGCATTTGAAACGATGCTACATGTACGCCGGTGGCTTTGCGTCGTAGGAGGAGTTGATTGAATAGTCTATAGATATTTATTGAAGTTTTTATTGCCTATAGTCATTATTTTTTTTTTATTTTTTAAAATTTAAACATCTTTTATTGAGCTACCTCGTTGTAAGAAGGAAGTTATTGTCTAAGGCAAACATTGTTCGTAGTTAAGTATGTAAGAAAAAAAAAATGTTATTATCAAGCGCGGTAATGTTGTGGTATATAGTGAAAAATGAGCTTTTAAATTCTTATATGAATTTTTTCCTAAATGAAAAAGGAGGAAAATAATTTTCACACTTCATTTTTCAACATATGTACTTAAAAAAAAAAAACAATTTCTGGAAAAGGAAATGGAACAGTGTTTTCCATTCAAAACCCTCTCGACTCTTACTACACTTCTACGTTGGAGGATAATTATATCAGTTTTTCTAATAATAAAAAAAAAAAAAAAAAAAAAAAAAAAAAGTCAAATCAAATGAAGTGCAGTTATATATAACAAGTGAAATGCTAATATAATACTGTAAACCTGTCTTCGTCATTTATGAGCGACATTGGAAACTCAAAGAAATTGGTTGTGTTCAGTCTGCAAATATAATACCGCTGCTGCAGACTGCTGCTTGAGTCAAATCTGCAACACGAGGTTGCATTTATACCCATGCTCATCCACTTGGGCCTACTGGGGACTCGTAAACAATTTGCCCTCTTATTTTATTCTAGGCAACCAAGATGTCACATTATTTAAAGAGTAATGCTACAATTGAGAATCAATTTTGTGTGTGTTTGTGTCTGCAATTGTTATTAGTGTCTAATAAGCACTCTTAGTCACTACTAGTGTCTTCAAATAAGCAGTCTTAGTTAGTAATAATACAAATAGATTTTTTTTTTTTTTTGTCTTAAATTTTTTAAATTAACAATAAATACATCAGTCAATACCATTAATCTATCCCATCATTATTATCATTAATATGTAAATAAGTATCATAGTGGAAAAGTAACAGTAAGTGTGATCCGCAAATCCCAAACGGTTCGATTAGGGACAATTATACAAAGATTTAAGGTCATTTATTCAAATTACCCTTCATTTTTAAGTTCAGATAAGTGGTTTCAGTGGTTTGCCCACATTTGGTTGGGTTAGTTGAAGGACAGGCCCACTAAGAAACAACAAATAAAATGTATGACTGTATATGACACAATAACCATGGACCTATATCCTGAAGTTTCCTTTTTGGCTGTCCATCTGTGAGACCATGACTTCCAATTTCGATCTAGTCAGAGAAAATTTTATAATATTTAGAGGTTTCTCAGCTTTTGAATTATTAATCAGATGAGTCTCATCATCTTATTCAACGGTTGTCTAGATAGATATTATAAGAAATTTCATATATGGGGAGTGTTGAGAGGAAAAAGTGTTGGCATATATATATATATATTTACACAAAATGATTGCTATCATCTTCTTAAGTATTTTGTGCGTTCAAGAATTTTTACCAAGTTCTCTTCAAAGTGGAGATTTAAATTTGTATTACTAACGACTAAAGTTGAAACATATTTAATTTTGACATTTTCATCACAAACTAATGAGAGTTGACACATATTTAACTTTGACATTTCTTTTAGCTAACTTAAATTGTGTTTCAACACATCTGTTTTGTGTTGAAATTATGTTAAAATATAAAATAAATGGTAATTTGCACTCACAATCTCTTAGGTGTGAGTCTGATTCAATTGCCCCCTCAAGTTTACAAACTTGAACAATACCCAACCATAATAAGAGTACCTAATTGCCCTTTAATTTTTGAATTGACCCATTTAAATTATTAAAGTACAATATTAACCTTTATAGGTCCTTTTATTTGACCAAAATGACCCTTAGAAAAAAAAAAAAATCAAACTCCACCACTGCGTCCGCCAATGCCATATGCATACAGACAGGGACGTGCCCACGAATTTTTAATTGGTGGGGCCAAACTAGAAATGTAAAATTATAATTTTGAAATAACATAAAATCATTGTAAGAATTTTTTTTTTTTTTTTTTTGCAAGTTTAATGTATATTGTTAAAATGTGTCTATAAATAATATGCAATAAAATTGAAGAGAAAAGTTGTCGATTGAATCATTGTTGTTGTCAAATAAATAATTTTTTTTCTTTCTTTCTAATTCATAACAAATAATATTTATATATGTGTGTGAATATATGTGTGCATAAATATAGTATGCTATTAAAAGGATTACCATAATAATTAATAATATTTTTTTTTACTAAATTTAATAATTTATAGCAAGAGGTTTATTGGAATTTGAAAGGGTTGCAAGTAATTTCATTATTAAACTATATTTAATATCAGGAGCCATATAGTTTTTTTAAATAAAATTAGAGAGATCAACTTTAATTTTTATATAGAAAACAACTATTAGTATCTATGATTTAATACCATAAATAAAGTGTTACAAAAAATTTGAGGTGGCCAACTTTAATTTTTATGTAAAACATTACCATAAATAATTTGAATTTAATACTATAATAAAGTTTTGCAAAAAAATTGCGAGGGCCATGGTGGAGTTTGTTTTTGTTTTGTTTTTCCTTTTTTTTTTTATTTTTTTTTTTTATTGTCAAGGGTCATTTTGGTCCAATCAAAGGGCTTGTAAAAGATTAATATTGTACTTTCATGATTTAAATGGGTCATTTCAGAAGTCAAAGGGCAATTACGTACTCTTATCATAGTTAGGGTGGTGTTATTCAAGTTTGCAAACTTGAAGGGGCAATTGAATCACACTTTCCCTAAATTGTATCTATATGTCTTTATTGCAAATCTGAGGGGGGTGTGAGTGCAAATTATACTACAACAAATGTGCTAAAACATTAATTAAATGCTTAAGATACATTAAAAAATGTTACAACGAAGGATCCAAATCCAAATCCAAATCCAAACCCAAACTTGACTATTACCATTTTTAAATATATCATATGATGATTTGAGCTAACTTTAGAGTATTAAAAACTAAAATAGATTTTATAGAAAATTATTTTAAAGAAACTACAGTTATTACAATACTTCCTTTGTTAAAAGTTACCAATTTACCTTTATATTTAAGTTTGAAAATTTAAATTCCAAGGACATACATAAAAAGATGTAAAATATAATATTTTTAAAAAGAAAGTGGACAATTATTTTGAAACATACCAAAAGAGAAAGTATGACATTTTTATTTGGGTTAATTTCACCTAGACCCCCTAAAGTTGGCTTATATTTCACCTAGATGAAGATTTGGTTTTTAATGACCACTTAGACCCTAATTTGTGAGTTTGTATTTCACTTACACCCCAAATGTCAATTTGTAGTACTTTTTAGGTATAAAATGACAATTTTACCCTTTTGACCATATGTTGACTTAAAAAAAATGTATTTCAAATTTTTCATAACAAAAATACCCTTCAAGTTTTTCATCACAAAAATACCCCCAAATGAGCTTACCACAATTGCCTCTGCTATAAATTATTTTTTTCTCGACAATGACCATTGCTAATAAAAAAGTAAATTTCAAAATTTTCACTCTTATTTCTTTCTTAATTTATTAATTGCCAAAAAAGTGAATTTCAAAATTTTCAGTCCTATTTCTTTATTAATTACTTGAATATTAACATGTAAAACACCTGTTAAAAAAAAAAAAAAGCCTGTTTCTTTTTTTTAAAAAGCCTTTAAAGCAACTATTACAATCATGTAAAGCAATTAGTCAATAAATTTTAATTTAAATTTAAAACCTGTAAAAGAATTGTAATTTTTTTAAGCCTCTAAAAATCAGATGCTGATACAGTTCAATTGCATATACTACTGCTGCAGATTTTTTTTTAAACCTCTAAATCAGAACCTGTTAGAGGATTGCAAAATCAGATGCTGATACAATCCAATTGCATATACTGCTGCTGCAATTTTTTTTTTAAACCTCTAAATCAGAACCTGTTAGAGGATTGTAAAATTTTAAAACCTGTTACATTCCCAAAATATATCAATACCTGTTAAAGTCTCAAAATATATCAATACATTCCCAACATAAAGTCTCAAAATACATCAATACACTCCCAACTTAAAGTACAGAATATCATAAATACCAAATACCAAACTTAATGTACTAAATAACTGCCACAAATAGAAAATGCCATCAAATTCATTCCATCTCAATGGTGTTAAGCTCCTACTTCCTGCTGGTGCAACATGAAGGTTGAAATGAAACAAAAAATATTTATTACAATACAATTATATTCCTGAGAGCTTTGTGTTTTGTTGTTATTAGGATCAATAAATGAATTACATACCTGAGAGCCTTGTGTTGATGTGGCTTGAGTTGCTCTTGTTGCTACTGCCCTACCGGAAGCCTAATATGAAAATTGAAATGAAGAAATCTTTATTGAAATGTGAAAAAAAAAAAAGAAAAAAAAAAATTGAAATGAAGAAATCTTTATTCAATGAATTTAGTACCTCAGAGCCTTGTGTTGCTGCTGTTACTGCTCTATTCCTTTTTGATCTTTTTGGTGGATGTCTTCTTCCTCCTACTTTTGGGCCTGCTGTTGCTGATGATGATGATGGGCCTGATGCTGCTGCTCCTGCCTGTTTTGCAGTAGGAGCCTTTTGACATCCCCTCTTGTTGTGTCCAAAATATCCACATACACTGCACTGAATAGTTGACCTTTTATTTGCTTCTGCTTCACCATCCTCCCTCTTCTTTGACACTTTTGGTCTATCACAGGGTCTTTTGAGCTTTGGTGGATCCAATTCAGGTTTGTCAACCTCAGTCCACATACTTTCATCGGGCATGGGGTGGATGAAAGGAATGTAAGTCTTTGTATATGTATCCTTATTGTAGAAATCTGAACATAACTTCTCAATATCCACCCTTGTGGTAGTAATGGCTGCACATGCATGCATACAAGGAACTCCACTCACCTGCCATTCCCTACAACAACAAGTCCTCTCCCCAAGCATAACAATATAACTCTTCAGTTTTGCATTATCAGTTACCTCATACACACCTTCAGCGGGCCATGTCAATTCACATGTACCAGCTTTGGATATATTGGAGTTTCATCTTTTCTTAATTTTTGGCACTACCATGGTTGTCCAATCTGCTGTCCTTCGAAACCTTTTGTTGAATTTGGACATCACCTTTGTTCTTATACATTCAAAAACAGCAGTGATTGGTTTTGCTCTAACATTCCCAAGCTAAGAATTAAATGACTCCAAATGATTATTGGTGACATAGTCACATTTCACCCTATCATCAAATTTGTGTCTTGTCCATGTCTCCAAAGGATGCTCCATCAACCAAATTGAGGCATCCTGACTAATTGACTCAATCTGCCTCATTGCAATTTGAAATCTTCTTCATTATATGCATTTACAGCTTCCCAGAATAGTTTATTGTACTTCACACCTGGCCACCGTGTCCTAAAGTTAGCATATATATGCCTGCAACATCTCCTAGTTATTGCTTGTGGAAAAATTTCAGAGAGAGCGTTAAAATGCCCTTTTGACCATCAGACATAAAAAGTCCATGGTATATTAGTTGTTGTTGTATCACCTAGGAATTTATGCAAGTGATCCAGAAACCATTTCCAACTGTCTTTAGTTTCAAACTCAACTACAACTACTGCAAATGGATATAATCCATTATTCCCATCAAGTCCTATTGCACTCATCAAAATACCCCCAAATGGCCCCTTCAAAAAACAACCATCAATACCAATAAATGGTCTGCAACCATTAATAAAACCATTTTGACATGCTGCAAATGATAAAAAAAAGTCTCTTGAACTTGGGAGGGTCATCTATACTTAGTTTTATAAAAATTAAACTCCCAGGATTAGTTTTAACTACCTCAGCTGCATATTTCCACAGCTTTTTATATGAAGTAAAATGGTTCCCTAGAATCTGATCTCTTGCTATATTTCTAGCCCTCCAACAAGCACTAGTACTTACAATTGCAAGAAGTTTTTCTCTAACTTCTTCTTTCACATCTTTGACACTAATTTCAGGATTCCTTTTAAACTTCTCCATAAGCTTTTTTGCTATAAAAGGTGCAGTCACACTCTTAAGCTTACTTATTCTGATGCAAGTGTGCTCTGGGCCTACAAACTTCACCTTATAGGTCAACTGATCAGCCAATATAGTTGCATGAATTCTCCAACTAGAGCCTTGGTTGGCACAGTGGCAAGTAATTCTACCGGTCTCATTTTTTTCCCTAGTAAGGTTAAAACTTTTTTGGACTGAATACTCCACCAAAACCTCTCTGAAATGGCGGATGTCATAAAAAATATGGCCCTTCTCAAATTCAATTTTTCCCCCTTCAGCATATTTGAACAACTTCCCCTTCAATGATTTATATAAATAATCCACGGTCCTTGTTTGCTTTTTTCCTTTCCCTTTCGTTACATTACTCTCTATTTCATCCTCACTTTCTCCAGTCAAATCTTGATTCTCACTGTAATTAGATAACCCATCACTACTCATATCTGGAATTTCATTTTCCAAGCCAATGTTTTGAAGATTATGATCTCCCAAATTCTCAACTCCTTCATGAACACCAGTCCAATTTTCATCATCACTATCACAAAAACTATACTCAGATCCACTAACATCACTTGCACTGTTCTCTTCTTCACTCATCTCTTCACCGACATTTTCTTCTTCACTGACCTCTTCACTAACATTCTCTTCTTGCCTCACCACTACTTCTATCACCTCATCAACATCATGCAATATGTCATATGCCATTTCAAACTTGAATAACACAAAAGAATCAAAATGGTGAGACATTGAAGCCCCAGTAAATTGTAGACACACTTAACTCGAATTCAGTGACTATCTGCTGTTTTTTGCAGAGACATGAGCAGTAAGCTGCCATGACAAGACCCCTTTCTCTCTCTCTTCTCTCTCTAAATAGTATCTACAATATAAGAGGGGAACAGCGAGACAGAAACATAGGGTTTGATTAGGATCGTACCTGAAATTAAGGTTCTTCAACGAATGGCCTCTGAAAATTAGGGTTTGATCTACCACAGTGAATTACTTGGTTTCGCCTTAAAAAATGGTCACAAGAATCTACTCAGGAGCTTCGGCAAAGAGGATCTCTCGAACGGGCGGCCTCTGTAGGAGAATCACTAAGATTTCAGAAAAGCGGCGAAACCTCCTCGTACGGGCGGAAGCTACATCATTAAGGTTGATGGCGAGATGGAACGGCGGCGGAGGCTAGGTTTGGTTCGGAGATAAGGGTGTTGGGTGTTAGATGCAGAGACGATTGAGGGTGTTAGATGCAGAGGAGAGTGTAGGTTTGTGTTTGCCATTTGGTTCGCCTATTTTGGGTTTTTTTGTGTACAATGTCATTAGGTGTACAATGTCAGGGGTAGTTTTGCCTTTTAAAATTATAAATTTTTTGGTATTAAATTGTATTAAAAATTTAAGGATAAATGGGTCAATTCCCTTGTGTCAAAGTCTAAAAAAACAAACTGGGGTCTAAATAGTCGCTAAAAAATAAATCTTCATTTAGGTGAAATATGCACCAATCCCAGGGATTTAGGTGAAATTAACCCTTTTTATTTTGAGACTGGGGAAGGATTAGAAAGGAAAAAATTGATACAATTGACAACAAATTTGACAGACTTAAAAAGGGACTTGGCGACGTACAAAACTAAATATGTACATATAAAACATTGTTTCTCACAAGAAAACCGTAAACATTCAACGAGTCTTTGTTGTCCGACTCTAATATAAATTACTCTGAATGCATACTAGAGGTAGGGGTGAGGGCAAAAATCGTCTCCAGACACCCTCTCACTGGAGGGTGTCCATTGCTGACATGGAAGCCAAAAAACAGGTGACATGGTAGGGGTAAAAATAGTATTTACTCTTCTTATGTATATGTATGTATATAATCTATGTGTATGCATGTATATGTATATAATATATATATCTGTACATTGTCTTCCACTTCCTCGCCGCCCACCGCCGCGCCGACCTCCGCCGCACCATCCTCACAACCTTCCCTTACCTCACAGAAACCCATTTTCTCTATCCTTCAAGGCTTAGATCATTCAAGAGAGAGAAGGCATGTGGGTCAGATGACGGCGAGAAGAACCCAGACGATATAGGAGCTAGAGTTGCCGGCGCCGGCGACGAGATCCCCGGATTCTGAGAGGATCCTCGGCTGAGATCGGGTCGGCGATGAAGTGGAGGCCGACGATGTGGGTCGGCGATGAAGTCAATCAGCGGCGTGAAGATGATCCCTCTGGTGACTCCGACCCCTTAGTTTGGCGACGGCAGGGATGTCGCCGTTGAAGACGAAGACAGTGATTCGGTCGATGGTGGAGTTCGGCGATGCTGGAGTTGACAAAGGTAACAGATCCGGCAGCGGCGACGGATCCGGCGGAGATCACTGGTTCGGCCGGCTGTGATGATCTCTGGAGCCGGCGAAGATGGAGATGGCGGTTGAGACAGATCCGGCCAGCTCTCCTTCAATTCATCCTCATCTTCACAACAGCTCCGAAACTCTTCTTCATCTCCTTCTAATTTCACTTCCCTAGCCAATTTCGCAGAAGAACCAACACCAAATATTGTTTGTTCCTCCATTCCCAGCCACAATTACCCTGTAACTAGAACACTTCAAGGTGTGATTGATATCTAGCAAAACCCATCAACAAAAACAATCCAAAACTCAAAAAACTACATCTTTTTCTCAAAGTCACAACAACAAAGATTTTTTTCAACAGCTCAGCTCCTATTTCTGAATCAAAATCTAAGCAAAACCCATCAACAAAACAGTCTAGAACTCCGACTTTAGCCTGTGTATCTAAGAAAATCACTAATTCCATTATCAAATAATGATCTTTTGGCTACTTTTTATTTTTTATTTTATTTTTTTTTATATCAATAATCTGTGAAATACAAATCAACGAGTAGATCTAAAATTCCAAATGATTTCCAGCTACACCTTACAATCTAAATTAGGAACTGCACAAACCAAAAACATAAATTACAGGGTCTTCGCAGCTCAACCTTAAGAAATATGATTCTGGGTTCTTTATTTGAGATCGCCGTTGGCAGCTCCCCGGAGTCAGACCTGCGTGTAATGTATGTGTATATGTGTCTCTGTATATATGTATCTGTGTGTATATGACGATGGAGTATGGGTAGAGAGAGAGAGAGGAGCAAGGACGATACCGGAGTTCCTGAGAGAGAGAATGGACGGTGGTGATCCCGGCCGTTGCGGTGGTGGTGGAGGAGGACCGGTGGTGAGGATGGTTTTGGTATATTGTATTCGTATATGGTAAGTATGTATGTATATTGTTTGTAGTATTCGTACATGGTAAAAAAGTAAGGTTTAACAGTTATTGCTGACTTGGCGCTTCGTCATCGCTGACAAAGCAATGACATGGCAAAATTGGTTGACATGGCTTAATCCCAGCCATTGGATCCTCAGTGGACCCTCTCCGGTGAGAGGTGCCCAGGAGATGATTTTTGCCCGGGGTTTTGACCTTTGTGCAAGTAATCCACGCATATATGTGTATAATATATATATATATATATATATCAACTGTTCAAACAATAGCGCCTATCTAGAGAATCATTTCCTACTGAAGAATTTCAAATAAAAAACACAACTTCTCTGCATGTAAGCGACAAGGAAGAAGACAGTCTGGAACTTTGACTCGGTCTCGTCCATCAACAGACTAGACTTTGACGATGTCAACCCTCGTCGCAATCAGAGACAGCGTGACCGCCGACGTCGACGCCCTGTACTCTCCGGCGAAGGAGAAGGCGTCCAACAGAGGCGGCTACATTGCCCGATCGCCGCTCCTCCACCGCCGTCTCCGCCACTTTCTCGGCGGCGCGAAGGTCAAACTCCTCCTCTCTCTGTGCTTTCTCTGCGGCGTTTTCTTGTTCACTTCGAGACTCGGTTCGTTGATGGGTTGGAACCCTCACTACCCTTCTTCGGTCTCTTCTCCATCTCGGTAACTCATCCTTTCTTTGATCGATCTTTCATTTCAATTCGTATATGTAAACACTCGCACAGAATACCATTATTGCTCCACAATTGAGTCGGGTTGTTTTTAATTGTGAATAGAGATGAATTATATTTGGTATTGAAATTAAATTAAATTTTAATATTTGATTGATGTAGGACCAATTTTGTTGTTACTTGTTTGGTTGTTGGAGTTTTTATTATTGGGATGAAATCTTGTTTATCATAGATTAAGGTTACAATCAAATTTTGATGTGGCGTAGATGACATTGAATTGAAACCATGTATCTTAATTATCTGGCTTTTATTCAGGATAGTAATATAATTAGCTTTACTATTTAATTTTTCCGATAAATGGACTTGTCTCAATTATAATATTGTATATAATGACAATTGGAGTTGCAAAATTAAAAAATTATTACTTAAAACCTAACGGGATATGAACCTTAAGGCAAAAGTGGCAACAATGGTAAGATAGATGATGTGAAGGAGATAAGTAAAATTGTGCCCTTAATCACGGTTAATTTGTATAAGAAAAGCTTCTGAAGGTGAACAAAAAACTTATGCACCATAGAGAAAATATCTTTTGAATATAGAAGAAGTTCCATTTTGCATTTAAAGTTACCTTCATTTTTTTTTATTTATTTATTTATTTTTTTCTTCTTCTTGTAAGTAGGATTCAGAAACTATTCTAAGTAATCAGTTTGTGTACATAACTTCCAAAAAATAAAAGATAAGAAACAAATAATAAAAAGCATACTACTTGATCAAGTGTACTAGGCATATCACATAGCCCTTTTAAGTTGCATTACCACAACAATACAGGTTGCATTTTACTTTGCAGACTGTAAATAGTTTAGTGAGCTCTTTTTCTCTTGGCATATTGCCACCATGAGAAATAAAACTCCTCAGCAGTGAACAAGTTTATGGGGGTATGGATGGAGTCATATATACACAAACATGCCCATATGGAATATTTTGAAAATCATTAAGAAATTAATATGAAAGGGGGGAGAGGACTCAGCATTATACATAGTTGTATTACTAGTTTTTTCTTTTTTTATTTTTGAATTATCTTCCATATTAAGTTTTTAACTTATTAGTTATAATAATAGAACTCAAATGAGAAACAGAGTTACTTACACGAACATAAACCTGCAATGTAAACCTCCATCTTCCTCCCCCCCCCCCCCCCCCAAAAAAAAAAAAAAGTTTTATTTATTATAACATTTCTTTAAATCTAATTTCAGTTATATTCTAATGCTTGTGATGGAGTTTGTGGTTGTGCCCTTGGCCTTGACTGTGTTCTTTCATGACATGAATTCATCGTGTTTGACTAAGATTGTTTTAGGCTTTCTAGAGTTATGCTACATGGCCGAGCTCCTTATGGCTGGAATTTTCTTATCTATTGATTATGTTTTGTCATGTTTGCTTGATTTTTCATCACTCTATCCACTACCCTATAATTTTAAACGGATGCTTTACTCCCCTTGTTGATATCTTTATTTTTTAAATTAAAGGAATTTCCATTGAAAATTGGTTTTATAATCAAAAACTCTTTTCAACAGTTCAACACAGTTCTTTCTTGACCTTTCTTGGTCCGTACTTCTGTTGGGAAATTATTTTGCTGAGCATTCTGTGTTATTTGTTTTTCAGACTCAGTAAGAACTTGCAGCAAATTATGTCTGACATTCTATCATTCTTTGTGCTATCTAAGAATCATAGCAACCATTTAAGTTGGGGAAGTGTTGTTTCTTGTTGCTTTTCCTCACAATGATGCTAGAACTAGAACTAAAATTTTCTGTGCATCTCTTTCGTATATATTTGTGCTTATACTTGTATACATGTATTTCATTTGATATATGTATTCTAGAAGTCTGAAGACTTTCCTTGGTGTTATAGTAGTTTTATGCAATATTATTTGAATTATTGGATACAACTTTCGCGTTACTCTGAATAATCTTAATCTGTCAATATTTTTTATAGGGGGGGCTATACAGTGCTTATCAACACATGGAAAAGAAATTCTCTTCTGATGCAATCTGTTGCTCATTATGCATCCTGCAGTGGTACTAATGCAATACATGTAGTGTGGAGTGAAAGCGATCCGCCATCAGAGAGTATAAAAGCTTCTCTCAAGAAGATCGTGTTGACAAAGTCAAAGACAGCTCATAAACCCAACTTCAGGTTTGACCTAAACAAGGAGGATAATTTGAACAATAGATTTAAGCCTATTGAGGATCTCAGAACCGATGCAATCTTCTCGGTGGATGATGATGTAATTGTTCCATGTTCTACTCTGGATTTTGCATTTGCTGTATGGCAAAGTGCTCCACTCACAATGGTGGGATTTGTTCCTCGCATGCATTGGCTGGATGGGGAGGTTAGTAGTTTAATGTGGAATATTCACTTGGATAATTTGTTTAAATTTTGCTTGGTATTAGAAGTTGTAATGACAGATTTATGTCTTATATGAATGCTGTGTTAGGACTTTTGGTTGAATGAACGAAAGATGAATTCATGTTAGACAGCCATATTTGTGCTTTTCATTGTGCATCTGCTGATGCCTGATGAGATTGTTGATAAGAACAATATGATCTTACATGAAAACCTATTCAGGGTTCCTTTGTTATAACTGACTTCAACTAGAAAACCCAGCATAAGCAATTCTTCACAATTGGTATTTGCTGAAAGTAGTAGCTTTGAAACCCATTATATGTCTCTACAAAGCAGCTTCTTTTTGGAGACCTTTGCTCTTTATTGCCAGTTTTGTCAACAAGTTATCGGTTAACCTCTAGGGCTTGTATTCTTTTTCAACCTAAAACACTTTCTTCTTGGTGTTAGTCCAACCCTGTTTTTTTGTCAACCTAAAACCCTTTCTTCTTGGTGCTAGTCCAACCCTGTTTTTTTTTTTTGTCACGACCTTATGGCCCTAAATTAAGTGTTTATCGTTGTTTAAAGATTTCTGGAAACCAGTTTTTTTAACAACCAGCAATTTATTTGCTTTAAATTTTAGCCTATTAAACGAACTTAAGAACCTTCTTATATTCTTTCTTTCTCATTATGTTTTTTTTCCCTCATAAATTCTACAAATAAGATGCCTAACCCTAGCCCACTTCTTATTCTTCTTCTTCTACTTTTTCCTTTTTCTTGTAAATCCCTAGCCCACTCTTTTTTTTTTTTTTTTTGGGTTAGTTAAGTACTCACACACATCTCACAAATTGCCCGCTACAGGTCTTAAACCTCTCACATCCCCTTTGAGGGAGAAGAGGTTATACCGTTGGGCTAATGGCCCATTGCTCCCTAGCTCATTTCTTGAAATTTCATAAACTACAGAAATTGTTTCTGAATTATGGCATTCTTTTCAAATAACCTTCTTGGTGCATATTCTTCCTATTAATAATGAAAACAATTTGTATAAAGTATTTAAATATTTGACATAAAATTGTCAGTCATGAAATTATGTATTGGTATTCTGCTGCTAGCATATCCACCAAGTTATGGTTTGTATATTTTCTACCTGGAATTTTCAGGTTTCCTCACTACAGATATCCTATTTTTAAAGCATATATAGTAGCAACTATTGCTTTATTTCCCTTTTAGTGAATAATTCATTACCAGATTAGCATCTACTGTGAGCACTCGTGTATATGAATATACAACTATACATATTTTCTCAAAAGCTAATTTCTTCAATTGTGTCTTGCTTGACAATAGAAGTTCAGGAAACCTATTACAATGGTTTTCTTAGGAAGATTAGTCTTAGGTTTTCTTCATTTTGTTTGTGCCCATTTCCGTTTGTACAGAAAATTGGCATTACATATTATCAATATGGTGGACGGTGGTCAGTTTGGTGGACGGGCACTTACAGTATCGTTCTTTCAAAAGCAGCATTCTTTCACAGGAAGTACTTGGATTTGTACACTTATAACATGCCCTCATCAATCCGTGATTATGTAACCAGGGAGAGGTTTGCATAAATTATTGGTTAATTATTTTGCCATTCTGGTATTTAATTTTACTTACTTATTTTAATTCAATTTTCTCTGCTTTTTCACAGAAACTGTGAGGATATTGCAATGTCTCTTCTTGTTGCAAATGCTACTGATGCCCCTCCAATCTGGGTCAGAGGTAATGATCATTAATAATTTCTTTTATTTTTATTTTATTATCAGGTACTGAAAAATCATGTTCAGATGACAATGAACTACATCTGGTTTGGAGGTTTTATATATAAAAAAAAATTTATCAAAAGAATGTTCAATGTCTAGAACAGGATTTAATCAATTTGTTTAAATTATCCAATTGTTTAAAATTTGGCCATGTAAATCTATTGGCTGGAACATTAGAGGGGCAAACAAAAACAACGAATAAGATGATTTTCTTTACTCAGACTTTAACAGTTTATATAAATTTTGTGCTTGTTATGGAAGTGGCACTACTTGAATGCATTGCTGCTCTTACACATGTTATGTTAGAGAACTATCTTAGGACAACCGTGACATGGATTTTGTTGGCAGTGGTCTAAAGATGATTAGAATTTGTACGGTTCTGTAATCGTTTTAATTACTTTGATCGTTTTCAAAGGTTTGCATTATTGCCTTTGTTCAATATATGTTCCTGTGTGCATCCTCAAATCTTGATGACACAAGTAGCATGGACCCTTTTAGGGAGGAGCCACCTCAATGGTAGACATGTAACACTCTTTTCTACGTGTTTGAGGCACACTGTAGGCTTTTCGTTATTTCTGAAGTAATTTTTACCCTTGAATACACTGTCAACAGATGCTGAAATTCTCTAAACAGGTTCATCTCTTGCTTTCTAAGAATTGGTGTATTAGGAAGCCTGCCAGTTACAAAGGGTCTATTTGCATTAAACAATTAAAAATGAAAGGTTTAGCGTACCTTTTAGAACCTGAGAATTTTATATTTAAATTAAACTAAGGGTGTGTTTGTAAAACGTATCCTAAAGGTGGAGGACGTGGGTAACATCTCTAAAAGAAGCTACTGAGTATCGAACTTTTGAGGCATGAATTTAAGAATTACTTTGAGATGTAGCACCTGGTTGAAATTGTTACTCTGTTTATGGTTGTTATTGTTTTCACAAATCCTGTTCAATTTAATGAAGCTAATGACGGTACTAGTCATTGCTAATTATTTATGTACAATTTGGTCAGCACGAGTCTAGAAATAGCATCCTGTGGTACATGCATTTCAGAGAATTGATATTTCTGTAAGTTGTTAATCCTTAGGTGCTCTTGCATGACATGGATGTCCTAAATTTTACCTATTGATAACTTTTAATTATGCGAAGTCTACACCTTTCACGAGCTGTGACAATGTTACATTTTGCAGGGAAGATATATGAGATTGGGAGTTCAGGCATAAGCAGTTTAAAAGGGCACAACAACCGGAGAAATAAATGCCTCAACGATTTCATCTCCCTTTATGGGACTATGCCCCTTGTATCAACCAATGTAAAAGCTACGGATGCAACACATGGATGGTTCTGGTGATCACTTTAAATGGTGCCAACGCTCTTCCAACTTTTGACGCAATCATGGTTTGTTCAGTATATTTCCTGTATATATACTTTACTTGGAGCGAAACTATATTTAGAGTCTTAGGTTACAAATATTTGATATAACCTTACTCTTAATCTGGTTATCCTATTTATTTTATTCATTAATCTATCTGAAAATTTTAGATTTAGGTCAGATTGTTCAGTAACAAGACAATTACTAAATGTTTACCTTTCAAAAAATAAAAAAAATAATTTTTTGGTAATGCCTAAGCACGCCTCTCAATTGATTAACAAGCTGTCCTGTTAAGAAACAAGCTCGTGCTTATTGGAAGATTGTTCCTCATTGTGTCTGGTGGTGTTTGTGGCGTGAGAGAAATAACAGATCCTTTGAAGGAAAAGAATCATCCTTAGCTAATTTAAAAATTCATATTCTTCGTTCTTTATTCTTTTATGTTAGAGGAAGTACATGCTCCTCGATTGATGATTTCTTTGATCTCTTGGATTCTATTGGTCCTTAGATCTTTTCTCTTGTATTAGGGATGCGTTCCCTTTTTGAACGTTTTTCTAATATATTTTTACTTATCAAAAAAAAAAAAAAAAAAAATTGCTAGACATTAGGGCAAGGATGAGAGGTTTAGAGACAGATGTTGAAGATGATATGACTGAAAGAAACTTGGTTTGCCTTGAGAGTCATGTGGTACCATGAGGTGCTGACTTCAAAATAGTTGAACTGATTGTTTTTTGGCATCTCATGGCATCCTTAAATCCAGCGTGTTTGTAGGCATTCTAAGGTGAATTTGAAGGATCTTTGAGGAGAAACTTTATATGGTAATCTTGAAGTGCTGAAGGGTTAAATATATTTTAGAAACAACGGTCAAGCCGAGTATATTTCAGCAATAGGGGATATCTTAACAAGCTTTTCTATTCCTCATCATTGGGGAAAATCTTTCTGGACTTTAACACCATCTCATTTCTGAAATCGCATTTTTAGAGTACAATAAGTGTGAAGTGGATCAACTTGACAGGACTGCTAATGGAGAATGTGATGTTGGATCTGAAATTCTTTGTGCACTTCAACCCAAGCCCCATGTGAACTTAGGTAGTAGTCAGGTTTATTAGTCCAGATGCATGTGATTTAGGAAATTGTGTGAACCCGGTAATTATGTCATTTTTAGAGTAGAACAAGTGTGAAGTGGATCAACCAGACAGGACTGGTAATGGAGAATGTGATGATGGATCTGAAAATCTTTACTGCTAATGGAGAACGTGATGTTGGATTTGAAATTCTTTGTGCACTTCAACACAAGCGCCATCACGCTATGAGAACTTAGGTAGCAATCCACTTAGATTGCACAGAGCAAGCCCGAAGGATGACTTTCCGCTCCCTCACATTGACGTCCTGGTGGACAACACTGCAAAGCATTCCATTCCATGTTCTCGTTTATGGATGGATTCTCCGGATACAATCAGATCAGACTCGTAGAAGAGGATTTAGGAAATTGTCTGGGCTAAGTAATTATGTTAGCCTAAAATTTGACGAAAATGCTTGTCGGTGGTCACTCTTGTGCAGAAATGCTTCGCGGCTTACTCTTTTGTATCTTCTTTAGCTGTGTAAGGAGGAGGAAAGGAAAAACAATTTACTTGCTTTTGGAGGTAGCAGCCCTGTTATATTTCAATAATTCTGCAAAATCATTTTGAGTTCTTAAGGTTCAAATTCCCTCATTTATCTCATAATCTTTCTTCTATGAGCCTTTAATCAAAAGATTATTTTGACTTGAGTTCGAATAGGTTTGGTTCATTCACAGTTCCGCGGCTTGTGACAGAATTTATGTTTGTTTAAATAAGATATGGTTTACCCTTTTAAAGCTATTAGAGCAAGTCCTGTAAGTTTTAGAAATTTTGGGCCCAATTTAGAGATGCTAGTAGTCCAATGGATTATGTTTGACTGATATAAATAGTGTATTAAAGGCTTTTTTTGGGACAAAAAAAGTAAAAAAAGAAAAGAAGAGATAAGTGCTTTTTTAAATAGGAAAAAAAATATTGTATATGATTGTTCTTTAAAAAAAGGAAAAAAAAGTGTCATATGGTTGTTATTTTTTCTAGTTTATTTTAATGATGGTATTGTATTGTTTATGTTAAAAAAAAAAAATCATATAGTATTGTGCTGTTTTAATCTTTCTAATTCATAATAAATATTATATTGTTTAATAATTTTTGTATGATATAGCTGTTATAGCACTTAGGAGAAAGTAAAAAGAAAAAAACAAACAATTTATTTATGAGAGCGAAAACGCATCATTGGAGCATCCGAGATAGCTAAAATTTAGAGAGTCAAAAATACTAACGTGATTCCTGAAAATGTTAATGGGATAATTGAAAAATGTTGACGTGGCAAATTTGGAGGCCCAAATTTTAAAGGTGTCATTGGAGATGCTTTTATTAGTTTTTGACTAAAATTTTATTATGATAAATCCTGAATTTTGAGTCTAAAATATAAACATATTCAGATTATAAAAAGATAGCATAGGCTTTCACAAGTGGTTCTTTTGTCTTTGCAAGCGACAAAGTGGTCGGTCGACCCCCACGTGTTCTAAACATTAAAGGCAATATCCATTAAAAAAAAAAAATTATTAGATGGTTCAATCGAATTAACAATTATATTTAATTTTTTTAAATTTTTTATTGGAATGGTGTTTGGAATATATTTCAAGATATATAATTATAAATCTGTTGAAAAATATATAGGTACATGCTTAACAATTACCTTTCCGTCTCAAAACGAATGTCTATTTTAAAAAATTGTGACTCACTCTGTCTCAAAAACAGAGTGTCTATTTTGAAACAGAGGAAGTAATTATTTTGATAGAATAATTCCTTGAGTAAGTGTTTCATGTATTCACATTTACCTGCATATCTTGAACAGTCACATGTTAATTTATGTGATTGTATGAATGAATTTTATTGAAGTTCATTAACGGAACATGCATCTTCTTAATACGATTGGAGACCAACTTGGGAGGTTTATAAATATAAAGTATATAGGTTGATCATATCTCAAATTCAACCGACTCTTCAAGTTCTCTACACTCAAAGTCTAAGAAGTTCTCAATCTTTTATTATTTATTTCATTTTATTTTTAGATTTAAACATTTTATATTGTTTTTGATAGTGTATCGTACAAATACACTGCGATTGAATTGAGTGAATATTAAATATGGATTGACAAGATGTGTTTGTAAGGGTGTGCGTGAGAGGAGAAGACATTCAATGTGCCTGGTGTAATGTGCACCGGGCACATCATAGCTATTTGTGTAGTGCACGCTCAGACGGATATGGATGATTGTGAGGTGCACCGGGTACATTGAATATCTTTTCACGTGTGAGAGAGAGATGCTAGGGCGGGCAGATGATGGTGTTGAACAGTTGTGCTTGTGTTTGTACGTGCACAACACGAACGAGAACGATTGTGATGGTTGGACGCCCATTGAATATCTTCTTGTGTGTGAGAGAGATGCAATGCTGGGCACTGCAGGTGGTGGTGTTGGGCCGTTGTGGGTAACACAAGTCAGTCATGTTTGGAGTGCAAGTAATTGGTGTAATTTTGTTCTAAATTAAACATTGAAGCATGTGGGACACCGAGGATTTGTTAACTTTACTTGACTAGATCCCACCAACTGTGTCAAGGGTCAAGCAACACACACATGGGCATCTGATGGAAAGAGTGAGTCCAAAGTACATAATTTAACACTATTTTTGGTTTACCAAAGACTCATCTAAATCTTTGACTCTCACAATTCTTAAACATATGAAGTGAAATATTTTCAATTGATTTTTTAAATATGTCTATTTTCCACTTTCAAGGAAAAATCTTTGGACCTAGTTTATGGAAAAAAAAAAAAAAAAAAAAAACGTCCAATGGTGGACAGTGCTAGTCAAGTCCTCAATCTCTTAATTTTTCTCCCTTTATTTGATTCTGTTTCCCCTTTATTTTTATTTTTTTATTTTTTTATTTTTGTCCTGCTCTTTCCACTGTTAAGTTCTTGTTATTATTTTTCCTTTTGTTTTCACTTTACATGGGAATAAGTTCTATTCCAAGTTCAAAAAGTCCAAAGGAATTGGAACCAAAAGCTTTTAAGAGAAGTGGAATTGAGAATCTGTTTTTTGCTTTTAAACAATGTCTTTGTAGTATAAATCCCATGTTCTGTTTTTTTTTTTTTTTTTTGGACATATAAATATCATGTGACTAAGCACAAAATTATAATGAATTTGAAGAGAGATTTTCCTTGTATCAATTTGCTGGGTGGACAGTGAATATTGTTAACTCGGACGTTAGGTTTGTTCTTCATAAGTTTAAAAATATCTGAATTTAAAAAATAAAAAAAATAAAAATGGGAATTGTTTGTTACTGTTTAGGTGGAATTCAAGTTCCATCTACTCAACATTATAAATTGGATTGGACCACAGAGGCGCCACTTAGCTAATGAAATGGGAAATCATAATTAAGAGGTAAGAAATTAGACACCCCACCAACTGCAAATTTTTTGTTGATTAAAAATAAAAGTAGTCGGTGAAAAAGTGTCTCTATCGGTTGACAAATTCAATATATGATTGTCAAACCCATCATAAGAAAACTCAGTCGTTTTCTTACTCCAGCGTGGAGCGCGCTGTAAAACAAAACAAGCACATACTGTTTGAAAATATTGGAGAAGCAAACAAATTTACGTACTGCTAACCTGCTCCACCATCTTTTAACATTTTCTCCATTGACGGCTCATATATATATATATATATATATCTATCTATTGCTATGATTATAAATGATTTTGAGTCTTATATTTTCAAGCTTTGGCAGTCTTAGTAGTAACCAATTATTTTCTGCTGCCACGACAGCCAAACAGCAATATAGAGCCCATCTACTGCAAACTTTCATGTTCCTTTTCAACCAAATTGAAGAAAATTGTTACCACTGACATTAAATAGTATAGAATTATTTTCTCTTCCTTTTTATTTTTTATTTTCCTGCCTTCTTTCTACCTTTTATTTTAAAAAATATAAATATATCACTAAATTAAAATAACATAATATTCAGTTTATTAGAAAGAATAATAAAAAAAAATACTTCAATATTATGTTTGCAAGTTTCAAATCGCCACTTTTGACTTAGAAATAGAAGAGATTTAGTTTAAATTTTGTACCCTTTTTTTTTTTTTTTTAAAAAATTTAAATTTAAAGTGCAATTCATTGCACCCAAATGCAACATAAATATACTTTTTCTTTTGAGAGCAGGAGAGAAACACTCACTTAAATTTCCTTTTGGTAGCCATTTTATTTTATTTTTTTTGTCTGATGCATTGTAGGGGTTAACTATTTCTATAATTAAATAAATACGTAATTCACTTAAAAAATTTTAAAATTATATTTTGACCTTAATTTTCACAACAATCTACATGCCTGAATAATTTGATTAATAGATAATTAACTTCACGTTTATTATAATTATAAAGTTGAGGGTGCAAAAGATAATATATATATATATATATATATATATATATATATATATTTACATATTTCTATACTATTATTAAAAGTACAAAGGGTGTCAAGAATTTTAAATCGTCATTAAAAATAAATAAATAATAAAATAAATTACTAATTAAAAGTAACTAATTAAAATAAATACAATTATACTCTTAAAAGTTATCAATCAAAAAAAATCCTATTATACTCGGACATCATTAAAAATAAATATATAATAAAATAAATTATCAATTAAAATAAACCCTATTATAGTCTTAAAAGTTACCACCTAGAATAAATCTTATTATACTCGGAATTCTTAATAAATTCCCAATTAAAATAAATCCTATTATATTTTTAAAAGTTACCGATTAAAATAAATCTTATTATACTCAGAATTCTTCATGACTAAAACAACTAAAACAAGTTATTAATTAAAATAAAATAGGTAATTGTTTAGCTTGATTCAATTTTTTTCTTTAGTTTTTATTTTTTTTAGAGTATGTTTTATGTTCGGTTGGTGATAACAATGGTTGATTTTGTAAATTTCAATTATACTATTATTAAAAGTACAAGGGGTATAAAGAATTTCAAATCATTATTAAAACCAAATAAATATTAAAATAAATTATCAATTAAAATAAATCCTTTTATACTTTTAAAAGTTACTAATTAAAATAAATCTTATTATGTTCGGAATTCTTAATAAATTATGCTTGATTATTGTTTAGTTTTGGATCATAGTTAATTTTTTACATATTAATTTTATCAACACATATAGAAGCTAATTTTTACATATAGAAGTTATATTATTTCTATTGATTATTGTTTATTTTAGTTTTGGATTACGATTATTTTATTATTACATCTACTTGATTATTGTTTATAAAATTTATTAATAAAAAAATAATAAAACTGAACTCTTATAAATATATATTTATTATGTCTTTATAAATATTAAATATCAACTATTTAAAATAAGTTGGTAATTATATATATATATATATATTTTGTTATATCCAAGAGATACATGCCTCGAATTTTATTCGTGTAGCATTGCTCGAATAATAATGTTGTTAAGAAAATAATAAGTTATAGGAAAAATCATCATTGGTGTTTAGAGAAAATATGAACCTAAAATGGGGCACTACTGTAATTAAAGCAAGGTACAGAATGAACAATACCAGTTGCACAATAAAGTCAACAACCAGAATTCAACCCCAACGAAGAAAAAGTAAAAAAAAGGAAAAAAAAAGCACTCAATAATCTTCACAAAGAAGCAGGAGAAAACGAAACAGCACTAGTAATACAATTTGGCAGAAAGAAAACAGTGTGTTTTTTGGTTCAACAGGTCTCAATCTGCAACAACAGTAAAGCTAGAGAGCTATGTGGTTCAATTCTCCTTGATCATTGTCTTTCATTCTCTCTCACAATTTTCTCACCATGCCATCTCGTCAGATGTTGCAGTTATCACCACCGTTGATCATCCCCACCACCGCATCACCACCGTCGATCATCCCTCACCACCATCACCACCACAACAGCCACCTCATTCCTCCACTCGCCGGCGGCGTTGCCGCCGCCTTCTCCTGCCTCATCCTCCTCACCGTCTGCTTCCGCAAAATCTCCCGCAAACGCACCGTCCCCGCTGATTCCAAGCCGCCGCACCGCTTCTCCTACTCTTCCCTCCGCCGCGCCACCGACAATTTCTCGGAATCTCACCGTCTCGGCCAGGGCGGCTTCGGCTCCGTCTACAGCGGAACCCTCACCGACTTGAACCTAGAAGTCGCCGTGAAGGCTATGGACGCCGGTTCTCTCCAAGGCGAGCGCGAGTTCCAGAACGAGCTCTTATTCGCCGGAAAGATTGAATCGAATTACATCGTCTCGCTCATCGGATTCTCCTCTGACCGGAAACGGCGGCGTATGTTACTGGTGTATGAGCTCATGAGGAGCGGAAGCTTGCAAGATTGCTTGCTTCATCGCAAATGTCCGGAGCTGATGGTATGGAAGAAGAGATTTTCGATCGCGCTCGATATTGCTAGAGGACTTGAGTTTCTTCATCACTACTGTGATCCTCCGGTGATTCATGGAGATATAAAGCCGAGTAATATACTGTTAGATCGGTATTTCAATGCAAAGATTGGTGATTTCGGATTGGCGAGGTTGAAATCGCAGGTTCAGTGTGAAATCGCGGTAAATGACGGATTTGAGGGGAAAAAGAAGGACTTGGAAAGCAATGGTGCAGTCGTAGCAGAGGATAATGGATCCGTGCTCGAAGATACAGAGAGTGTGATGACGAACGGTTTTGAGGAGTTTAATGGTGGCATCGATCAATCGCCGGAGAGTTTTGTTAGGGTTACGGTTGCCGAGGCATCGCCTGAGACGGTTGCGGAAACTCCAGTGTCACCAGAGATGGTTGAGGGGGCTCCGGTGTCGCCACGAACAGTGGCAGCGATGGCGTCACCATCGGAAGGTTTGGAGAAGGCGAGTATGTCGGAGGGCACTTTTGATGGAATTAGCGTGGGGAGTGGGAAGGAAATGATTGGCGGGGGCAGTGTGAAGCAGAGTGGGAGGCGAAAGAAGAACCTTTCAGGGAAGGATTGGTGGTGGAAACAAGATAATGGCGGGACTGAGTCTGGGGTTGTGAAGGACTATGTGATGGAATGGATTGGAAATGAAATTAAGAAGGAGAGGCCTAACAGTGGTTGGATTGGAGCTTCGTCTAGCTCTGGACCAATTGGGAAGATCGAAAAGAAGAAGAATCGGAGGAGATTGGATTGGTGGATGTCAATGGATGATGACAAAGATGTGAAGAAAGAGAAGAGAAGACCTGCAAGAGAATGGTGGAAGGAGGAGTATTGTGAAGAATTGGCAAGGAAGAAAAAGAAGAAGAAAAAACAAGGGCCAGCGTCCATTGGCGATGATAGTCATAGCGAAAATTGGTGGCCACGGGATGAGGATTTGTATGTTGATAGAAAGAAGAAGAGGAGTAGGAGCAGGAGCAGAGGTAGTCGCGGTAGTGTGGATTGGTGGTTGGATGGACTTAGTGGCGAGCTCTGGAGAGCTCGCCACAACAGCCATGACTCGGAGAACCCTAAGAGTGGTGGTGTTAGCAGCACTCCAAGTATGAGGGGAACTGTTTGTTACATTGCCCCTGAGTATGGTGGTGGTGGGGATCTTTCGGAGAAATGTGATGTTTATAGCTTTGGGGTTCTATTGCTGGTTCTTATTGCAGGGCGTCGGCCACTGCAGGTGACCAGTTCACCAATGTCAGAATTCCAACGTGCCAATCTTATATCTTGGGCCCGTCACCTTGCACGCGCAGGGAAGCTTCTTGATTTGGTTGATCAGTCTATCCAATCTTTGGATCGAGAACAAGCTCTATTGTGCATCACAGTTGCACTCATCTGCCTGCAGAAATCGCCTGCCCGCAGGCCATCCATGAAAGAAGTTGTGGGGATGCTCTCTGGAGAGTTAGAAGCTCCCCAATTACCAATTGAATTTTCCCCTTCGACTCCGTCCCGCTTCCCATTCAAGCCTCATAAGAAAGTTCGGTGAGTTTCTACTGTTTGGTGCCAATACTTGCAAACGGCAATGTACTGTTGAAGATCATAGTTTCATCATCTTTGTGGATGATTGTTGTAAAATACTACAAAATTAATATATTTAATGGATTTTACTTGCTCATTGTGGATACTTGTGTAGCTAGTAAAGCAAGATAATCTTTTAGTATTGCATAATTAAAAGGCAAATCAAACACACTGACCCCACTTCATATTTTCTCCTACTCTGAATTTCAGGAATGCCTGGAATTATTGGATACCTTTTTTAAATGTGGCACATACTTTTTGCAGTGAGGCCATCTTAATGAGTAAATATGATTAGTGTCCATGAAATTGAACAAGCATCATGCTTTTAGTCAGTGGAGAGTTACTGGGCCAGGGGAAATTATCCCTGCTTGTTGCTGCTCTTTTGAAGTCAACTAACTTTTGTCAGTGCAAACTTATTCACTTAGTCTTTTTGCTAAACATTGCTAACTTAATTCATTGATAGAAGGTGAAATAGTTCATGCCTTCATGGTTTTTAAGTGTCATAGTGAACCTTGGAAATGCAATTTAGTTATACCAATTAAATATATGTAATTTGGCAGGACTTTGGTACAGTATGCCAGGCATTAGTTTGAGCCCTTATATGGCATTATGACCAGGCATTGCCTATATGTATAGCTTTCATATTTGATTGTTCTCAGATGATGGTGATACATAAAGCTGTTCAATTTAGCATCTCTGTTATCTGTTTCTTCTAAGGTTATATGAATATTTATTTATTAGTGCCCCGTATGAATATTTGTGTTCTTGCAGCCCAAGCAAAATAAGTAAGCAGATAAGTCATTTGAACAAGGGTTTTGGTTCTGTGGTAAGGTTTTGTGCTTCCTTGAAATAGTGGTGTTATAGATAGGTACAGGCATTGGGCTTCTCCTGGCTTTAGGCTCAATGCTTTCTACTTTTTATTTGTGGTTCTGCATGCATTGATGGAGCGAGCTTAGACTTTGGTTGTGATAAGAACTAGTTGGTGTTTGTTGGAGAGATTGAACAACAAACCCAATTAATTGTGGCTTGCCATAAATATGCCGATTGAGACTCATAAAACAGAGGACAGATTTATGCATGTGTGACACAGTTTGGAGTTTTGACCCGATTCCTACAATTTTGCATCCATTTTGATATCAGTTCTATTAAAAAAATTAAATAGGATCAGTCCCATTTTTAATTAAAACCCTTTTCCAGTAGACAATTTACTAATGTTTTCTTTCTTTTTTTTTTTTTTTGTTTGGAGAGAGAGGGGGTGAGGGGGGAGATTTGGTTTGTTTAATTAAGCTATTTTATATAAGCAAAACTAGGTACATGAGTTTCATTTTTTAAAATAGCTTAATTAAAAAAAAAAAAAAAAAGGAAATACATAACAAGCAAAAAGACAAAATTGTCCTCTTAACATGTGGAAATTACAAGAAAAAGTTCATCAAAGGAAAATGAAATGAACTGTTGAAGAGATGATCATGAAACTGTGAACACTGAACACAGACGAGACTTGAAGAGATCTACAACCAAGTAGCTCCACAAGATGTCCTACCAGAACTCTTCTTTGTGCTGCAACAGGTGAGCAAGACCATGGTGTTGTTCCAAAGCCACGAGGAGAGGAAAGAGGCCATGCACTAAGTTGAAATTGACAAGCTGTTTAAGAGTTCAGACTTAAATGAGTTTATTCTGAGAGCTTCTGACTTAGTTTCTGAGGTTGCATGGATGGAGAAACAGATTGATTTGGTGACTTAATTTGTGAAATTGGAAGAGAAGTTGTGACCAGCGAAGATGGTATGATCGAGACAAGGGAAGCTGAAACGAAAGAGTGATGATTTGAAGGGTTCTATGAGGAGTTTATCCATCAAAACTACTATTTTCTCTTCAGGTTTGCATAAATTTCTGATTATTTTTTGAATTTTGTTTTTACTTGACAGGAATTTATGCAAATATCCAAGGAGTATCTGTTGTTAAGAACATTATGAAAACCTCAATTAATCAACTCAAATTAGTGTTTATTTGCTCGATAATTTTAGATTCTTTTTCTTCTGCTTTCTTGATGTTGATGGTCCAAACTGTAACTTAGTCCAGTAGGCAAAACATTTGATGCTTAATTCTTCTTTTCTCTTGCCATCTTTCTCAATTCAGGTTGTGGCACCTTGTGTTTTTCTGGAGAGAGTTTGGAATAAAGGCAGGATAGATTTCATTATCCAGTGGGCAAATGATAGGTAATTGCTTTTTGGTTGTTCATCGAAGTAATTATTATAGGGGCAATTGTCTAGTGTCATGGTAAAGGTTGACTGACAAGCGTGGGGATGGAGTATATGAGAGCAGTAACTTTATATGCTAAGCAATGCCAAAGGAGCAAGGTTCTAGTCTTCCTTGCCCAGTACCTCACATAGGCAGGACAAACACTGATAATGGCCTTTTAGATAAAAGTAATTGTCTTAGCCATCAAAAATGAAATTGTGTGAGATATTGCAGCCTGAGATAATACCATATGCTTCCTTGACTAGTTACAATTCAGTAATTTCTGTGTTAATAATACAAATTGATGTTCCAGCTTGTCCTCACTCTGGTATTACATATATAACTATAAAAATTCTTCACAACAACTGCTGCATAAGGTTAAAAAGAAAGGTGGCTGTCCTTCCAAAATCATTTTTTTTCCCTTTTATTTATTGAGGTGATATAGATTATGTAAATCTGTACCTTTTGTTATGCATTTGGAACAAGGCTAACAGTGTTCACCATTCTTTATGCCAGTTATTCATATCTGGTTGACTGCTTTCAATCATTTATCGGGTGTGTCTGAGCAGACTTCATGGTAAGCAATTATTATTATTTTTGTTCTCTCTGATTCTCTTATGTTTCTGCTTGTTTAGGATAGTTGGAATTCCTGGAATAATTATTGTTATAAGCAAGGAGTTGCTTTAATATGGCATTTTTATTTATTTATTTTTTACCTTTCTCTTCCCTTTTTTCTTAGATTTGCTTTTGTATGTCATGGACTTTGGTAAAAATAGGGGTATTAGAGGATGGTAGGAGCGAGTACCAATGGTAATGTATTTAATGCATGACATGTTATTGGGTCTCAGTTTAGGTATAGAATTGAAAAGGTTTTACATTTCACAAGAATATCTAACATATATATATATATATATATATATATCCAGAGTCTAAATTACAGTGTAAAGTAACGATATCCAATTAAAAAAAAATGGTGAAACACTCATTATTTATGCAGGAGACATGAAATAACTGTAGGAAACTAAGAATCTGAAGTAATGACCAACAAATAGACTTTGATCTGGATCCAAAACCGTGGCAATGTTACTGCAACTTGATAATTGTGTAAAATGATGTTGAACCCTTTATTTTATTTGTAGCTGACTGTAAGGCCATTGGTTGAGATGTACTTCAGCTGTCTGTCCTTGAACCAGCTGACCAAGCTCCTCATTTTTGTTCATTCCTGAATATTCTCAACTTCTTACAAAACCACTGAATCCATGAAGCAACTTGAGGAACAAAAGTCCTTATGGTGCTTCCATGTTATAGGAAAAGATAACCACCAAAGTGGAAACTTTGTAGCATTGCATTAAGATTAGCTTTCTAGTCCACAATTATCCTTCCCTGCTTGATAACTGGTTCTGAGGCACATATTGGCCATTTCTTTTGGACTAACAATGTGCCTGATGTGTTGTCATTCCATCACCAAATTTCATTAACGTTCACTTAAGGCACCATAAATGCTAGTTTCCCTCGTGTGACCTGTTTCTCTTAGAGATTTTGATGATTAGTTTGAATCATAAGGCTGTCAACTTTTTATTCTGGTAGGATTTGTTGTTCTCTTTACATATAAACCAGAACAGGTTCCTACTGCTTTGGTTCATACAATTGTACTAGAATACTTGTTCATTCTTCGTGCCTAGTCTTCTTGAAAGTTCTCGGATAGCTTCTTGAGGATAAATTAAAGCCTATCCATGGAAGTTTATCACTACTTGAGAGTTCTTTTGTCTGGACCACTCTTGGGTAGCTTTAAAACAAATTTGCTAGTGGAAGGACAAAGGATTTGGTTCATTACAGTCATGAAGGCAGTTTCAGTGTTGAAGAGATTGACATAACAAGTCATTCATACAAGCCTACATGTTTTGAAGGCGGCTTTTGAATTGTCACCAAGTTTGATTCGAATTTGATGGTATCTTTGAAGATATTTGAATACTTGCAAGCAGGTCAAACATATCATTTTCTCTTGAAATCATGGGAATTGGTACTTGATAGTGACCAACACATGTTATCATTAATTGGTACTTGATAGTGATCTACTCATATGCCATGATGATGCGACTATCTACACAAATGTTCTGTGATCCATCACTCTTTGAATTAACAAGGTCAGTTCCACACATGGTCATGCCTTCTCTAATGTACCTTTTCTTAACAACAACATGACATTCCATGCAATTTTTCTTACTCTTTTGGTTTCACATATGGTAATGAGGCTTGTTGGGTAGACTAGAACCCCAGAATCAAGTCTATTTGATGTCATTGTCTCTTAAAGAAGGAAGTCTAGCTGCTAATTCATCAGGTGTTAACTTGGAATTTCTCCAAAAGAGGCTTCAACTCACTAAAGACTTCTGAGGACTTTTTCTTTTGCCACCAACATGCGAACAACATTACTTCACTTTTTGCTGCTCACCTCTTGTAAAGGCTTGGGAGCCTTATATTCCTTAGTAAAGAAGAATTCCAGGATTTCATCCTGAAGGTGTATGTACTCTTGTGCCCATCATGGATGACATTTCAATGATACTGCAAAGAAATTCCTAAAAGAGTTAGTAGCTGATATCTATAGGAATTGCATCACCCCAAGTTTGGTCTCCAAAATTTTTACCTAATTTCTTTTTTTTTTTAACCATGCAATTCAGTTAGGCTTTGGACAGAGCTGAGTCTTTCGGTAAGGCACGGTCATCATACCTCAAGAAAGAATATTTTCACAACTTCCACTATCAACAACAATGGTGAACACTTTGTCATTAGATCTGCATCAATTGAAATAGAGCAAATCTACACTAGAATCAATCCTCACGTTGCATTTCACCTTCCGAATCAGACATAGGCTAATTGATCCATCACACATTCTTATTAGATCTGCATCGCTTGAAATGGAGCAAATCTACATTAGAATCAACACTCACGTGGCATTTCACCTTCCAAAGCAGACATAGGCTCAATTTATCCATCAACAGTCTTCACTATCGTTTCTTGGTGTTGAACTTGTACCTGCACCACATGATAATTCACCTCTGAACATGGGTTGAGACTATGAACATCCACGAAGATTTGCCTCAACTTCGAAGGTCCATTGATAAGTATCATTAACTTCACTTCATCATGACTTGGTGCACTCAGCCTGCCACATTCCTTGCCACTAGTTGCTTTAGTCTCTTAAATATCTTTACGTGTTTTAGCTTGAAAAATTCTTTAGTTTCCTCCATCACACTCTTGAGATTTTGGTGAAATTATTGGTAGGAGAAAATGTAGTTTGAGCAAAAAACTCCAAGAAGAATTTGAGGCTTTTCTTCAAAGTTCCGATCTCTTGGACCTTTCCCAATATGCCGAAGCATAGTCACATGGGTAGGATGCCATTAGTGATTGAATGCATGCTGTAAGGTTTTCATTTAAAATCATCATCATATTTCTTGGGCTGCATGCATTGTTATTATAAACTTCTCTACTGTAATTGGTGAGGGATGTCGTCATCCTTTTATGACCCCTACTTCAAACATCCCTTACTCGTAAACTATATATTTATATTAATCAAGAAAAGAGAAGATAGAAAATCTTTGGAATACCGATTAAGATACATGTAATGCCTTAATTGTGACATTTCTTAGCATCCTTTGGCTGATTGTCAGTGACAATATTATTCCCTGTGCTAGTCATCAAAATTTCAATGATTGAAGCATCAATTGATGACAAGTTGACCTGATTGTTTAATTTTAATGACAGAGGAAGCATAGAGGATTGACACCAGATTAGTTGCGAGTGTCAAGTAAACTGATTGGCACCTTCGGAATGGCATCAAATTCTCGAAAAAGTCAAATCATTTGTCCATGCTTGACTTTGTTCATTGGTCTGCACCATAAAACAGAATTTAGAAACCAAAGATGCGTCACTGCGTATATAATCAGGTTGAAGATTTGATCGAAAGAAAAGCAAGCACTGTGACAGAACTCAATCTAATTTTAAATTTGCAACGTGAATGGAATTGAGTTGGCTTTTCATTTTTTATAAATTAAATCCTCTTACTGTTATTTAATTATTTTTATTTTCTAGCTAATCTAATTTTGATTCCTGACAACTCCAGTGTCAAAGAGTAGCAGATCCAATATTATATGAGATCTTTCATTGCCCTTGAAGTGGAAGTTCCTTAGAGACATTGAATGAGGAGAGTATAAACAAATGTTTAACAGGTTTGAATGTTTGATCTCATCCTTCTTATGTTATCAAAATCGAACGATTGGTACATTATTCAAAAGGAAGAATTGAAAATTATGTAGAGAGTGTGGACTTTTGTCAGCAGTCCATGTTTCCTTGGTTGAAGGCATATTCACCAACTGTTTCTGGTGAAATCATGTGACTTTGTGAAATTTCCCGCCAGTAGTGCTTACTGAATTTGAGATTTGATTTGGGGTTTTCTAAATTTGATTCTCCACATGAGTTTCTGCTCAACTCTGTTATGAATACTAACCCATTAGAATAACTAAAGAGCTTCACATGTTACATTACTCCGTTTGTTTGGACGCAAAATATTTTTCAGAAAATATATTTTTATTTTTTGGTATTTGATTGTCGTAAAATATTTATGAAAAAAAAAATATTAAAATTTAACAAAAATAATTTATCCATAAATTTTGAGCAAATTATTTTACATACGCCGCCCGATGGACTCGATCTTAATCTCGATGTAGACCTTTGCCAAATACAGACAAAGTAAAAATAAAAGAATATTTTACTTGAAAAATAAAAACATTTTTAAAAAAAATTATTTTACGTCGAAACAAACGGAGTCTAAATGCAAGTATTTTTTCCAATTTGTTTGAGGGAGCTCATACCTCAAGACATTTTAAATTGTTGAAGTGGAAGTCTGTGTATGGTGTTGGTTCACCTGCTTTGCTTAGTTCCTCTATGTATTCCTTTGAAGTGTTGTGAGTAATATTTTTATTATTTGGTTGTAAAATTGTTGTTTTGTTTCTTGCTGCTGTATTTTTTTTTTTACCTCATTGTTTTACATGGAGGCATTTGGTGCTCCTGTAAAGGGAGTTCTTTGATTTTCTATTTTTGTTTTCTTTCTTCTCTCTACTAATCTGAAAATCTTGATTTGGCGATTTCGAAAGCCACAAAGCCGGAGGTAGATCGGTGAAGTGTATCGTGTGATGACACCGATGATAATTCAATATCAATAGAGTTGTGATGTGTCCCATTACGTGATGTCACCATAACTTCATATGATGGGATCCACCATACTTTTTACATAAATTGAATTCGATAATTACTAAATTTAATATGTAAATCACAACTATTGAGACTTTATTTAAACATCGATAACTTGAACCTTCAGCTATGTACATTCTCGCTTTTTGTTCTTTTATTTGTTGGTCGCCTAGGAAGACTTTGGGTATGGGAATGTTTGGTATGGGAGGAGGAGAAAGATGAGAAGGTTTTCTTATGATTAAATTTATTGTCACCAACAAACTTCTTGTTGTGACAGCTATGAAATCACTAATAATTCTAAAGTAATATATTTTGTTTCAATGTCTCACGTGGTCTTAATTATGCCAATTTTTTAAATCCTTCTCTCCAACAAAGGAGGGCTAGACGAAAACCCCATATAACCTTGTTCCAACGACTTCAATAAAGCTACGGAAATTATCTGGTAGGTATCATAACACACATCGACAGTTATGGCTCTATAATTTCTATTAGGGTTACGATCACCTGCTTGTGTCTGCCAAGTTTCGAACATGGCCTTATGTGTACAGACCCAATCACATTTCTGGGTCTCTTCAGAAGTATACAATTGATAAATGTTGACCCACATGGTAGGTATATATATATATATATGAGCGAGTGGGTCAATAACATTCATCATTTTATACTTGGAGCCCCTTTTTAAGGCACAATGTTTTACATTTTTGTAAGAAAAATATAACTAAAGCTTGGACCCAAATCCCTTTAAATTCTGAGTTAGATAGTACCAAATTTGATGATCCATATAGGGCACGGAGTACGATATATACATGTATTATATAATCAATATTCTTATCAAGAGCATAACCACTACAAGTGAGATATAAATAATGTGTCTAACACGATTGAATGGGCAAGAGAAGCAACCAAGCTACCTCCTCAATTATTTTTCTATTGCTTTACAATACATAATATCAGCTTCTCCAACTAATGCACTTGCAATATAGTATAAACTATAAGGAATACCCTATACTATAAGGGATACCCTATCTTCTTGAGATCTTCTTCTGATACTGTTGGTGGGTTGTTCCTCTTTTTTTTTTTTGAAAAGATTTGTGTCCTTGCTTTTCTTTCTCCTTTTACCGACTGTACGGGTGCATGCACCTCCGGGAGCATGATATTTTCAAGATTATATGGGCATAAAATAGAGTTATATATAAATTTTAGGAATATATAAAATGGAGTCAAAAATGTTTGGAAAAAACATGGAGTTAGACCAAAATGCAGATATGGACATTAAATCATCCTATTCATTTGTCAAAACTAGCCTTACTATTTTCAAGCACCATTTTTGTAGACGCAAGTGTGAACAAAGATACCACTATTGTGCACACATATGTGTACTATTTTTTGTGCAAATCATGTCATTAAAATGGTCTGTAAAAAATAAAAAAATTTGGTACCTAAAAATAGTAAAGATAATTTGGATAAATGAATCATAAGTGTTTCTTCATGACTCTATATTTTATATATATATTTTTTATCTGCATACTGGATTGTTGATCCCCGATTTTCGCATTTTCTTTTATTTTTTTTGTTTCTACGAGATGATCCAATATACCATGCTCTTTCAAATGTGACTTCCATTTAGGTGGTCCAAATTAAAATAAACAGAAGAATATTGCATTACTGTCTGAACTCCAATTTTCAAGGCGATTTGGAATATTTGCTTGTAATTAAGAACAAAATTAAAAGACAATTATCATACAAAAGTTTCTAGATATTCCAACGTTAAACTGACCATATGGATCCAATAATGAGGTCAAATTAAGAATTATAAAAAAAAACCAACTGTACCTTAATTGTTAATTAGCTTGTCAAATGATGATAGCAAATTGGATTATTATAATGATCATATATACAGTCGAGAAACACTGCTAGTTTTAAATATATTAATTGTACGTAAGTTGCTGGTCCATCAGGACCCCAAGTGTGAATGACTCGATGGAGATGAGTAGGGTATCAGTTGTTCAAATGTACAGTGCTCAGAAGCAATTAAGCATTTAAAAAATGGCTAATGAGGTCACCTTTTATATCACCCTTGTCTATGAAGAGATTGCAGAGAATCTTGGCATGTTATTGAAGATTTCATAAGCTAATACAAGCATATTTTCTTCATTCTTTGCCACCTCCATTGATACATGCACCAAGAGATTGAGAAGGACCTTAAAATCTTGAATATCTCTTAATCTATACTTACCTATATATATATATGTGTGTGTGTGATGTTTCCTTTACACCAAAGGGATGAGCTGGTTTTTCAGATCCCCTCTAATATTTCAAACCAACAACTGAAAATCCAAGAAGATCTGATCAAGGGTCAATCTTTACTGCAGGAGGGCAGTAGCCCTACCAACAGCGTGGGTAAAAGGCGGCGAAAACTATTTCGTATTGGAGATGATAGCACTGAGCATGATGACAAGCAGAAAAGAATTACGAGGAAAGAGATTGAAAAGCAAAGAAGGAAAGCAATGGCTGACCTTTACGCGTCTCTTCGTTCACAACTCCCTGTTGAGTACATCAAGGTGAGGAGCCAGACTGTATTTTAATTATCCTAATTTTCCCCCATGGTTTAGTTTGATTTATGGAACTTTCTAATTATATATTATGCCACTGCAATTGCTGCTGTTTCTTGAATGTCTTAATTAGAGATATATATTATACTTCCATTACCTCTATATAATCTTTATTCTTTCTGTGTGTGAGGCATTGGATTGTAATTTGATTGGTTTGTAAATATATTCATGATTCTAGGGTTTTGTTAATGGTGTTTCAGGGAAAGCGTTCAATATCCGATCACATGCATGGAGCTGTGAATTATATAAAGCTCTTGCAGAAGAAGATCAATGAACTGAGTATCACGCGAGATAAGCTTAAGATGTTGGACAATTCAAGTGGTATTGGTTCTGCAAGTGGAAGCTCAAATAATAATTGTTTGCCTAATAGTGTCATGGTTAGCCCATGCTTGGGTGGTCTGGAGATTTTGATCACTTGTGGCTCAAATGAGGATGTGTTTCCCCTATCAAAAGTGCTTCAACTACTGCTTGAAGAAGGTCTTACTGTCATTAGCTGTGTTTCCTCTAAAGCACATGAAAGACTGTTTCACACAATTCAGTCTGAGGTAACTAGTGCCACTGATGATTCATTCATTTCTAGGTTTAGGGTTTTCTTTCAAGTTGTTTAATAAGTGGAAGAGCATTCTTACCTCTATCTTTATGTACTATCCTTGCAGGTGAGCGATCTGACGTGCATTGATCTATCTGTGCTGCAGCAGAAACTGACTGATTTGATTAGCATGGGTTAAATTTCCAGTAACAATTAGTCCAATGGTATAACATCTCCTCTCTCCAAGGGGAGATGAGGGTTCGAGCCCTGTAGTAGAATTTTGTGAAATGTGTCTGAGTACTCACCTAACCCAAAAAAAAGAAAAGAAAAAGCATTGTACCTGTCCTTTGGAGACTATCATGTGTATAATCTGATCCAATGCATTTGAAAACCAAATTTGAATTTTGTGTCTATAAATCATAGCACATATCCATATCTCATTCTTTGCAGGCACTGTTTCTGAGAAACTCCAATGGAAAATGAAGATCTTCTGATCTTCATTCAAAACCTTCTTGGTTAATAATTCTAAAGAGTGTATACAAAAGATTTTCTGTTGAGGATTTTTCACAACACACCTTTTCAAATTATAGTGAGATTGTGGGGTTGTGCCTTCAAATTTGCTTGTGCTTAAGTTTTAGTATGATCCTTGTCGTCATCTTCCAGCTTGATCTATTCAACTGAATTGAGAAGCCACTAAGCCAGATGCAGACATACCTTTCCCTACTTGGATGATACAGCCCAATTGATGATCCCTTCATGTGTAAGTATGAGACTCTCACCATTTATAACTGCTGAACATACCTTTTCACTCTTGTTTTCATTTTTAAGTCTATTTCAATTTAGTAGAGTTGCTTTTTTACAATCACCAGCAAGTATCAGCAATATCAATGATATATATATATTCCTGGTAAACAAACTATATTAACAAAAGATGGAGGGGAAAGTTGCTGTCATGTTATATATGCATGCCTTGTAAACTCATACAGTTTTCTCTAGTGATGAACTAATAAAAATTCAAGATTCCATGCAACTCTTCATGAGTACTAATTAATTACAAAAGGTTGCAATTCTATATAAATTTAAATAAAACAAAAAGCCTGACAATGTTAGTCTTATTTCTGTGTATATAGTACTTGAAATGAGTTTTATCTCCAAGAAATGTGGCGCTGCTGTATAAACAGCTCACTTTGTCACATTACTAGCTTATAGTATAAACTTTGATTGTACAATATTAGTAAGAATCTATAATGTGAGAAAGTATTCAATACCCGGGGTTATTTACACGTGGTACTCTCGCCCAATCAATGGTAATGAAAACTCTCAATTTGCATGCCTTGATACAAAGAATTGAGTAGTTTTCAAGGAAAAGCATGGCTATACATATATTGGATACGGATACCACATGTATAGTACCTCCGGATATTGTATACTTTCTCAATGCGTTTATTAGCTTATGGTACTTGAGGTGAATTTTATTTCCAAGAAAGACAGCGCTAGCTGTATAATCAGCTCATTTTATTACAAAAACAATTGACTCTTACTTTGCATGTTATCGGAAATTTGTTACATCCAATATATGGGAGGTTGTGGCATTAAATCTATTGCATTTCCGCCCTAGCTAGCTAGTTGATTAATTACACCTTATGCAGTATGCCTTTTTCTTTGAATATAAAAGCACATATGAAGATTTGACATTTATAATTTCAGAAAGGAACATTTGTCTACCATGGTGTATTTTTTTCATCAGAGTTACATCAATATTTAATAACAACCTACTAGGGTATGAATGTAGAAGCATTACCTATGCTTAATTTTTCATGAACAGCTAGCTCTTGCATATATATGAAGCAATAGTGGGATGTGCAACTTATATAAAGATTTTGGCTTTAACTAACCATTTTTCAATCATAGCAGAAAAAGTTCATCTAATTTCAGTTGTATACCATCTCATGGGAAAATTATATTGGTAACCATGTAGAATATGATGGACATATGCAAATTAAGCTATTGATTACAAAAAATATGATTTTTGTGAAGTTGTGACTCGAATTTTGTTTTAGCCTGGGTAACACAACCCGATTTCGACAGAAATTTTTTTGACCCACTTTTCTCTTGCACGTCTTGGACTTGTTTAGGACTCTCTTACTAGTATATAATAAGGCGGTTTAAAATTTGGAGTGGGATATGAGAGAATACTGAATATTGCAAGAAAGAGAGTGAGGGAGAGCTAGGTTTCATGTTTTTTGGATAGCGAAATCTTTTCCCGAATCTTTACCGTAGATGTAGGTTGTTGCCAAATCACGTAAATCTTTGTGTAGCGTGTTTACTTTACGGAGACTTATGCCTCTCTTTGTGTGTGGCGTGTTTGTGATTCTTGATTGTGTTTGTGATTCTTGATTGTGTTCTTGGTTCCCGGTATTTGTTGTAACAACTTTTTTATTTTTTTTTTATTTTAATAATTTCAGCATAGTTCAAAATCTGGTGATGCAAGGGAAGTCATTGACTACTGCACAGAGATGGCTCATGGACTCCGATTCCTTAGGGTATATCTCATTTTGGTGTTGCTACAGCTAGTGCTTCTTTGTTGGTTCGTTCTGTTGATCTCACTTCGCCGTTGATCATTTGCTCATGTCTCATTCTGTAGCTTTTAATATTTGAGCTTTTGCCTATAGGCTTTGTTCCTTCGTGGTTAGAGGGGAGGGGGAAAGTGTAAGGCTTGAACACGATTTTTTGGATACGGAGAGCCTTAAATGTTTTTCTTCATGGGGGGTTCATTTTTTCCTCATGGGTACTTAAACATTAGTTTATTCGGTGTCTGTTCTATTTGTTTGGGGGAATGCGGGCACTGTCAGCCTTGATCTCACTGTGCGTACAATATATTGTCACCTCACAGGAAGTGTGTGAGCAATTGTGGCTAGCATTCCTCTCTTAATTCCTTGATAGGCTTTTGATGTATGTATTTATTTATTTTTTGGTAAGTGTTTGACGTATGGAGTATAGTCCAAGTCAAGATTGACAGGATCTTTATGAGTTGATCTATATAAGGAAGGTCGGAGGCTGGTTCAGTGTAATTTATTATTGTAGAGGCAGTTGGGTCACAAGATGGAGTTGTGTTTTCCTTTCTTGTATGAGAAATGCTAGAAGAAAGGAGCCTGACCAATTGCTACTACTACTTCACATGAAAGCAGCCAGCTTCCAAATGTACATTGGAGTGGGACGGGGCAGTTACTAGCTAGCTTTGAGTTTTGTATACCACTTAATTGAAAATGGTTCCATTGTATTTTCATTAGCCTCGTTCTTACATATTTTATTGGATTCTGTGTGCTTATGTACGAATGACAAATTTCAAATCCCATTCAACATCTTGTTTAGCACTTGTAATTCTGCAATTTTTATTGGATTATGTGTGCTTAAGGTAAATGATCGAGTTTTATAGATGTAAAGATCGAGATTTAGATGTGAAGGGAAAGAACCCCTAATTACAATAGGCCAGGTTCAAAAGCTGCTAAAACAAGTTTAGAGAGCCTAAAGCCACCAAAAGCACAAAAAAACGAAAATGCCAGCTATGCACAAAATAAAGCTGGTGAGAACAACAAATATACAAGGAAGAGCAGGTGGGGCTAGAACACCCACACACCACAGACAAGAGCAGATCTCTGTGAGAGGACCAAGAAAAGACTAGAGCCCATCAGTTCAGAAGCAACACAACAAAAAGCTAGATTGAGGAATGAGCCCTTCCTAATACTCTAGTTTTCCTCTTATCTCTATACTTCCCAGATAGAGTACACAGAGCAGGAAAACTATATCTATATATATATGTAGTCTCTGTATAGGTTCTGGGTTTTGCAGGACAAATCAATGGACATATGACGTGTGAATGCTTAAACTGAAAATGAGATGATATTTGATTTTTATTATTTTTATTATTATTTTTTCATTAATTAGATTTTTGGATGCTTCTCTAATTAGAGATTTCCATTTATGGCTAATCCTAAACAAGACATGAACATGTATTGGCACAAAAATGGGTAATCACTTTTTTTATATTCATTTTAAAAGTGATAGTACACTATACACACACACACACACACACACACATATAGATAGATAATCGATTTGTCAATTTTAATTCAAGAAGTATCCACCTGAAGCCAACGACTGCACGTGCACACCTTGGAGCACTTAATAATGAAAAGAAAAAGAAAAAAAATGTATTCTACGTGGAACACAAGAATTGAGAAATAATCAAAGAAGCCCTCCTCTTCTCTGCCCCCAAAAGTAAACCAAATATTAAGAAGAAATTCCCTTTCAAAAATAAATAAATAAATAAACCAGATAGTACCTAAATGGAAACAAATTTAAACTTTTTTTTTTTGGGGTCCAAATTAAACATGGTACAATTAAAAATTAATTTATAAAATCTTAACGTGTCATTCTTGTTCGGTGGTAAAAACTTAGTTCATAAATTCATCACGAAGTATATGGGTGCAGAAAAAATAGTATTTGAATGCACAAAACTGGTACCTTACTTATAAAAAGACAAATTGGGCACTTAAAAATAAATGCACAGTGATTTTTCATCCCCACATCAGCAATTTTAAATCCTTTCCAACAACAAAGCAGGCCTAGACGAAAGCCAATATAACCCACCCTTGTTCCAGCTACAACTTTAGTAAAGCTAGGGAAATTATCTGGTAGGTGTCATCTACATCGACATTAATGGTTTTGTTGGGATCGGAATCGGGATCGGGATCACCTGCATGTGTCTGCCAGGATTCGAACACAGCCTCATGTGTGCATACCCAATCACATTGTTCGGTCTCTTTAGAATTGATAAATGTTGGCCCACATGCTCTATATATCCAATTCTATACATGGAGTCCCTTTTTTTAAGGGACAATGTTGGTACATTTTTCAAATCCATTTAAATTCCGAGTTAGAGATAGTACCAAACATGATGATACATATAGGGCACGGAGTACCATACATTACGGAGTATTATATAATCAATATTCCCATCTGTATATAACCTACTACAAGTGATATAAATAATGTATTGCTTTACAATACATAGTATCAACTCCTCCCGTTCATGGACTTGCAATATAGTTTAGACTATAAGGTATAACCTTATCTTCTTGAGATCTTCTTCTGATACTGTTGGTGGGTTGTTACTTGCTTTTCTTTCTCCTCTTCCCCACTGTACGGGTGCATGCCCCACCTGACAGGGAGCATGAATTTTTTTTGGAGATTATATGGGCAAAAAATAGAGTTCTAGATAAATCTTAATTGAGAAAAATGTAACACAAGTATATGAAAATGGGCCCTACGCGTTGACGTGGTAGTGCCGACAGGGCCAAGATGCTAACGTGGCAGCTGGCCGGTGTATCAGCTGGCTTGGTGAGGCTGACCAGTTTTTGGTGGTGTTGGGACGGTTTGAGTTTGAACTTTCTCCTAATATAACCAGAATTGCGAAAAGGATGGTTAAATTACAAGTTTATCTTTTTACCTACCACTTAGGTTTCTTGCATACTACCAATTACCATTTATGATTATATCTTTCATATTACTATTTATAGGTTACTTATTCATCAATCGCTCACCTACCTTCAAACCTTCTCCACATTTATGTAATCTTCATATACTAATTCAATACAATATAATATTTTTTTTTTATTATTATTTTTTTAATTTCTAACATGGTTTCAGTGCTTTACGGAGTAGTCATCGTTTGGGATGGCACCATCAGCCACATTCTCGGCAGCGCTTCCGTATCCCAACCTTTAATCTCAAGTTCATAATCAGTAAAAACTTTATTTGCCCCGCCTAATCAGCTTTCAAGACACATCATCCCAATTTCACGGCAATAACGACATAATTTTGCCTCATCAGTGCTTCATCCTCAGACATACTCAATAACATTGCCAGCAGTAATGTGTCACAACAGTTGTCATGTCAGACACAACCACTAGATGCCACGTTACCTGTCAGGTCAAACACAGCCAGCAGCAGTGTCGGCAGTAATGGCACATTACTTGCTATTAAATATGATGATGTCATCATATAATTTTTTTAATAATATATTTGAAAAAAAGGAACTATGTACTGGAAAGAGAGGGGCATATATATACCCCATCATGTACAAAAAAGCAGCAGCAAATAGAGACATTAGAGCAAGGAGCTCAATCAGAAATATACTCAGGGAGCCTCCCAAGTGAGCTGGAACCATTTTGAAGTGGAGTTGATTACATCAAGGGCTAATGCTCTTTCAAGTGTGACTTCCATTTAGGCAGTCCAAATTAAATAACAAGAAGAATTAATTGCATTATTGCTGAACTCCCATTTTCAAGGTGATTTGGAATATGTGCTTTTGAATGAACAAAATTAGAAGACAATAATCATACGGAAGTTTCTAGATATATCAATGTTAATGGCACCACATGGATCCAATAATGAGGTCAAATTAAGAATAAAAAATCCCAGATGTACTTTAGTTTGTCAGATGGGAATTGGATTATAATGATCACATATATACAGTCGAGAAGCAGTGAAACACTGCTAGTTTTAATTATATAATATTCTAGGTAAGTTGCTGGTCCACCACCATGTGTGAATGAGTCGATGCAGATGAGTAGGGCATCAGTTGTACAAATGTACAGTGCCCAGAAGAAATAAGCATTTAAAAAATGTGTAATGAGGTCACCTGTTATATGAAGGGATTTCATAGAATCTTGGCATGTTATTGAAGATTTCATCTCTCTCCTTAATTCTTTGCCACCTCCATTACTGATACACCAAGAGATTGAGCAGGCCTAAAAATCTTGAATATCTATCTCTCTCTCTCTCTCTCTCTCTCTATATGATGTTTCCTTTACACCAAAGACATGAGCTGGTGTTTCAGATCCCCTCTAATATTTCAAGCCAACAACAGAAAATTCAAGAAGATCTGATCAAGGGACAAGCTTCACTGGAGGGGGAGGGCAGTAGTCCTACCAGAAGCGCTGGTAAAAGGGGGCGAAAACTATTAATTGGTATTGGAGATGATCATGATAACAAGCAGAAAAGAATTGTGCGTAAAGAGATTGAAAAGCAAAGAAGGAAAGAAATGACTGACCTTTATGCGTCGCTTCGTTCACAACTCCCTATTGAGTATATCAAGGTGAAGAGCTAGACTGTATTTTCATTATATATCCTAAACTTTTTTCCCATGTTTTAGTTTGATTTATGCCAAAAAAATTGATGAATACTTTTATCTGGTCAATACAATTGCTGTTGCTTCTTGAATGTCTCAATTAAAGACATTATACTTCCCTTCTTCTTATGACCCTCCCTCCCCCCACCTCTATCCTTCTTTCTTTGGGCTTTGGATTGTGATTTTCTTGGTTTCTATATATATATATATATATATATATATATATATATATATATATATATTCAAGATATATTCTAGGGTTATATATGTTAATGGTGTTTTAGGGAAAGCGTTCAATATCAGATCACATGCATGGAGCTGTGAATTATATAAAGCTGTTGCAGAAAAAGATCAATGAACTGAGTATCACGCGAGATAAGCTCAAGATGTTGGAAAATTCAATTGGTGTTGGTTCTGCAAGTGGAAGCTCAAATAATTGTTTGCCTAACAGTGTCATGGTTAGCCCATGCTTGGGTGGTCTGGAGATTTTGATCAGTTGTGGCTCAAGTGAGGATGTGTTCCCCCTATCAAAAGTGCTTCAACTACTGCTTCTTGAAGAAGGTCTTACTGTCATTAGTTGTGTTTCCACTAAAGCAAATGAAAGACTGCTCCACACAATTCAGTCTGAGGTAGGTAGCTAGTGCCACTGATTTATTTATAATTCATTGATTTCTAGCTAGGTTTAGGGTTTTCTTTCAAGTTACGAGTGGAAGAACATTCTTACCTCAATTTATGTACTATCCTTGCAGGTCAGCGATCCGACGTGCATTGATCTATCTGTGCTGCAGCAAAAACTGACTGATTTGATTAGCGGAAGTTAAAATTCTAGGCAACAACGTATCTGTCCTTTACCAATGAGGGTTTGAGCCCCGTAGTGGGCAATTTATGAAATGTTTGCATGAATGCTTGCCTAACCAAAAAAAATAAAAAAATAAAAAAATAAAAATGTACCTGTCTTTTGGGGACTACTCTTAGTACTATCATATATATAATCTGATCCAATTAATGCATTTGAATGAATTTTGAGCCTATGAATTGTAGCACATATCGATGTCTCATTATTTGCAGGCACTGTTTCTGAGAAACTCCAATGGAATTAAATGATGATTTTCTGATCTTCAATCAAAACTTTCTCGGTTAATAGTTCTAAAGTGTGTACAAAAGATTTTCCATTAAGGATTTTTCACAATGCACCTTTGCAAATTATAGAGTGATCGAGATTGTGGAGTTGTTCCTTCGCTTATGCTAAGTTTTAGTATGCTTCTTGTCCTCATCTTCCAGCTTAATCAATTCAACTGTATTGAGAGGCCAGATGCAGACATATCTTTCTCTACTCGGAGGGTACAGCCACTTTGATAAAACCCATTCGTAAGTAGACTATCACAATTTATAAATGCTGAACAAATTTGTTCAGTAGAGTTGCTTTATTACATTCACTGGAAAGTAGATTTTTTATTTATTTATTTTTTTTGTTGGTTACTTTGTTGCTGTCATGTTATATGCCTAGCTTGTAAACTTATATAGAAAACTCAACCGATAAACTAACATAATCACATATAATAAAAGTTCATGATTCTTTCGCAACTCTTCATGAGTTCTGATTAATCACAAAAGGTTGCAATTCTATATAGATTTAAATAGTAATAATAAAGAAGACAATATATATTAGTCTTATCTCTGTATAGTAAGAAAGGTGGCGCTGCTGTATAATCCAGCTTCACATTACTTAATTATAGTCTTATACAAGTTATCTTTCTTTAATTTCCTTTGTTTTGATCTGGTTCCAGATTTTGTAGCTAGTTTGGCTTTCACTTTTGTGCCTTGAGCTTTTGGTTCCCCTTGTTTTGATTGTTTGCATTACTTAATTATAGTCTTATACAAGTTATCTTTCTTTAATTTCCTTTGTTTTGATCTGGTTCCAGATTTTGTAGCTAGTTTGGCTTTCACTTTTGTGCCTTGAGCTTTTGGTTCCCCTTGTTTTGATTGTTTGCTCCAATTTAATAGATTTTCAAATTAGAGAAAGAAATAAAAACTTTGATTGTACAATGTTAGTAAGAACCTATATATAATGTTGTATTTGCGTATGTTAGTTGAGGTGAATTTTTGAATTTAAAGAAAATTAATATTGTATTGATTAAGAGAAAGGACTCTTACTTTCCATGTTATTGGAATTTTGTTATGGGAGGTTGTGGCATTAAATCTCTTATTGGCAGCATGCATTTTTCTTTGTATATAAAAGCACATATGAAGAAGATATGATCACACTTAGAATTTCAGAAAGGAACATTTGTTGATGATGTTTTATTTTCATCAGAATTACATTAATATTTAATAACAACATACTTGGGTATAAATGTAGAAGCTAGCATCACCTATGCTTAATTATTCATGACCACCTAGCTCTTGCATATATATGAAGCAGTTGTCGTTGCTCATTTGCTCATGGCTCATTAGCTTTTAATGTTTGAGCTTGCCTATGATCGAGGCCTTGTTTGTTCCTTGAAGGACTAGTTTGTACATTTATACCTTAGTCAATGCTACTCACCCAATTTATTACCTTAAAAAAAACAATTTCAGCATATTATATATTGTCATGAAAGGAATACTTCTCCCTTTGAGAATGTCATTTGATCTCTATTTGATTTTTTTTTTTTTGACACCTCCTCCCTGATTTAGAAAGTTTTAAGCTGCTCAAGTTCCTAGGTTTTTTATTTATTTATTTTTATTTATTTATTTATTTTTTTGTGTTTGGAGGAATGATAGCGACAAGCGTGCATTGTCTGCCTTAGTCTCACTATGAAACTCACACCATTTGATGAGAAATTTTAGGTAGCTGGTTCGGGACTCGGCTAATTACAAGACGATAAATTTATTTAGTTTTTTGGTTGGTTGCATGACATCTTGTGATTTGGTTGGACCACATAGTCCAAAACTATCTAATATAATTTCTCTCATTTGACATAATAGTCGCCAAGCAAAGGGCGTGCAATTGTCAGTAAAATTCCTCTTTTACTTGATAGGCCTTCGATGTCTCCTAGATTTTATTTTGGTCCCCAATCACTGGGTATATGAGTTAATGTTTATAGGGAAGGAGGGTGGTTCAGTGTGCTTTGCAACCCTAATTTGCATTTAGTAAAAGAGAGTTTAATCCATACAATCAAGCACTACTCACAGCTGTTTGGAAATTTTAGTGTCAATTGGTTGTTTGCAGCACCAGTACTGAAGATTACTACTTCACATGAAAGTAGCCAGCTTCCAAATGTACATTGGAGTGACAATATTCACTAGCTTTGAATGATCTGAAAATTTGAAAATATTTTATTCATTTAACATAGGGTCATGCATTTAATTTGTAGATCCGGAGTTGGACATCCATCTCATGCAAATGAAAATGGTTCCGTTGTATTTTGTATAGCATTTGACACCAAACCATTCCATTGAACCCTCAAGTATCATTTTCATTGCCCTTGTTCTTCAATACTTAATGGGTTTTTTTGTGCTTAGTGTCAGAATGACAAATTCCAGATCCCAATCAACATCTTGTTTACCTTTTACTCTGCAATTTGTTGTGTGAAATTTAGCTTACCATGAGTTAATTAGAGCCTATGGTTGTCATGTGTATAATAATAGCTAGGCCTCAATTTTTATTTATATTTTTTCATAAGTTGTGAGTTGTATAGATGTAAAGAGATTTACATTTGAACTGTGAAGAGGCCAAAGCCATAAAAAAAATTAAAAAAAAAAAAAAAAAAAACAGCATCTATGAACAAAAGCTGCTTAGAACAACAAATACCACAAAGTAGAACAGCTAGGGCTAGAACACCCACACCACAGAAAAGAGCAGATCTCAAAGAGGACAATGAAAAGACTAAAGGAGGCATCAGTTACTGATGAGCATTAATACTTCTGCCAGCAGTCTGCATCTGATAGAGTAATTGTTTATGGACATAACAGCATATAGAGCTTGAGGAATGAGCCCCTTCCAAACACTCTAGGGTACAAAAGCTTGTACGTTGATGAAGACTTGGCCTAAATTAATGTTTGTCATGTATAAAGAATTACAGCCTGCCACCTATTTAAATAGGCCTCAATATGAAGAAGAGTCTATGACTCTATGACTGGACGCTTTTTGGTTCAAGTAACCAACACCTATATATATACCTATATACTCCATATATATATATTATACTATTATATGTAGCCTCTGCATCCATTGTAATATCTTCTTGATTTTGTTGTCATCTTGCTTTGTTTCTTTAGGGATGTCAACAGCCGGATTTAGTCACCGGACACCAACTTATCTCACAAATAAATTATTTTTCTTCATGCATTTTGTGGGGGTGGGGGGTTGTTAAAATAACAATTTAAACTTATAAAAATGGTGGGGAAAGGGGTGTTAAAATAACAATTTAAACTTAATATCATAAAAATTTCAAATTATCATAAGAAATCGGCGTGTTTAGAATTTGACAGGTTAAAATTTTTTTTTCTTAACCCACCCCCTAACTCTATTAGAATGATTCCAAATTCATCCCTATAAGAATAAGAAAGTGTGTAAGTAATGCATAGACGGCCGGGTTAAATTGGCATCCTTGTTGCTCCCGATGATCTGAGTTTTTTTTTTTTAATAGATAAGCTTGTATATAAAAAGGGAAATATTTACAAAGTCTGGACACAGCAAGCCTATAGGTCACAGTAGACCAAGGCATCACAAAAGTTACAATAATAACCAAGCAATTGCTGAACAAAAGACACTCTAAACCAGACTCATCCACACATTGAGTGACATGACATTGTAAGCTAATCAATTAGAAACCAAGATGTGAGCATGCTACAAAATACACTCTAAACCAGACTCATCCACTGTAGTAGAGAAGGAGGGGTGAAGTAATTTGAAGTGTGACTCAGTGAAGCACAAGGCAACCATTCAGTCACATTTTTTATTCATCAATATATTCACTTATTATCACAAAAAAAAAACAAAAAAGGTTTAGGTCAAATCATGAGTGGAATAAGACGAGTGAAAGCCCAAACTGAAAATGAGATGGTATTTGTCTTCTTGCATAAGCTTTTTGAAAAAACAGCAGATAGGCATGTTACATGGACGACTAAATCTTAAACAAGATGTGAACATGCATAGGTAGAAAATTGGGTAAATAAGTTGATATATTCATTTAAAACTCATGATGTTACACTATAAATCATTAATATGTCAATTTTAATTCAAGAACAATCCTCCTCAAGTCAACGACTCCACCACCAGCTTGGAGTTAATAATTAAAGAAAAGGAAAAACAAATGTGTTCCACGTTGAACACAAAAACTGAGAAATAATAAACGTGAGCCAAAAAAAAAGTGTTTTCGTACCAGTTTTACACTAAAAAGTCGGCTTCTTGGTTACACATGCAATCAATCATTTTTCGTCAACAGGAAGTTCGACAAAAATGTTGAACCAGTCTCCCTAGCTCTGCGCCAAAAAGTTAACCAAACAGTAAGAGGAAATTTCCTTATAAACCCATAAAAAAAGGAAGAATAAAAGAAATATATATACACACACACAATTACTTGCGCATTTCATTGCCCCAAGTCAATGAGACCTTGACTTGGATAACAATTTCATTTACCAACATCATACCTCAAAATTCATTCCGGTCAAAAAGTTTCAAATATAATTGTTTGAAATTATTATTATTATTATTATAAAAAAAAAAAAAAAAAAAAAGGTTGCTAGACCTAGACAGTACCAAACAGTAATCACTTGATCCGTGTAGGTGGGAACTGGACACATTGACCACGTTAGTTGACCAAAAGCACAACTGTTGATGTGAATGGGTTCTTAATTTAAGAAATAATTAGATAGTCACGTATTATGAGTTGAATAAAGTTAGACATATTACCTAATTACATGCAATTAAACTGAGAGAAATACAATACCACACATTACAATATTAAATTATTGATGCAAAATTATTAATTCTAGGATGCAACAATGATATAAATTTGTTGTTTTTATATTTTTTATTTAAAAGTGTGACAGTGCTACATCTTAATGTAATATACCATGAAATATGTATGTAATACTTAAATCTAATGGCACCCTAATATAATTAATTTTTTTTCTCTTTATTTTCTCATTGATATCTCAAAATCTAAGAGCTTTGTATGTGGTAGTTTTTGTCCCCTTACTATATATTACTTCCCTAGTTTTAAGTTTCTTACGTTAAACTTATAAAAAGTAAATATCACATATTGTGGACCCACTATAAACATATTTGATAATTCATTTACTACTAATATAATTGAAAAATATTAAAATCTATCCTCTTAAAAAGTTAGATTCTTAAAAAGGGACATTTAATTTGAAATGGAAGGAGTAATAGTCACAATATATAATAGAGTAGGGTATATCTTGTATGAATCAAAATTCTCAAAAGCTATTACATAATCTCCAACACTTGTGTGCGTATGTTTAAAATAAATACATTATTAACAGCTCCTGATTAAATAAATGCAATATCCTATATATAATAGCATTTTCAAGAATGGATAAAAAGAAGAGGGACATAAATCTAAGAGAAAAGTTGTATACTCCATCCGTCTTATATATAATTTTTGTTAATCTTTATATTTTGAGATGTACCAAAATACATGTCTTATTTTAAAAATGGATGTACTATTTTTTATAATATTCCCAAACTATCAATTTGACATTAATGAGATTAACAAATGCACTAATTTTTTATTTTTTTTTTCTTTCTAATTAGTACTGACACACATGTCTCTTCTGATACTTGAACCCTGACCTCCCTTTGGGAGGTAAGGGGTTGATACCACTAGGTCACTGCCAGTTGGTACAAATGCACTAATTAGGAAGTACTGCTTTATCTTTAGTAAGGATAAATTTGAAATTTTGCTCTTATCAAGACAATAAAATGTATTAAAAGTCCACTTTCGTAAAAAGTTGGATTTCCAAAACAGCCCAAATTTTTTGGAATGGAGGGAGTATCATTTATTAGGACGTTTGCCCTTTTTTTTCTTCCCTATTTGATACTACATTTGCCCTTATTTATACATGCCAACACCACTACTACCTTTCGCAGCCACCTTCCAACACCACCACCTACACCACCACCGCTTTCCATATCTACCACCATCTACCATCGCCATTGCCATCATTTATTATTAAAAAGATTATAGAAGAATGTCATTTTATTAATTTACTAAGAGAGATAATTTGGAGAATTCAATTTTAAATTTTAAATTGTCCAACCAAATACTAGAATGATTATTAACATTTAATTTCTTTCATATTTACAACTAAACAATAAAATTAGAATAGTCATTCCACTTCATTCATATTCTCATTACATTCCTGCACACCAAGATTGAAATAGAATAAATTAAGATTTTCTTAATATATATATAATATTATTGAATATAAAATAAAATATAAGGACAAAATTATAATTTATCACTTTAAAGTGGGCAAAGTAACCTTTCTCCATCGCCACCTCATAACTACGTGAATTTTTACTCTAAATTTTCATTTCTCCCCTAAAGTCATTTAACCTCTCCCTTGAATGTTCTAAAACAGGTGGAGATATTTTGTCATCCCGGCTCAAACCAAAGATCAAAGAAGAAACGTTCAAGTTTCAACTAATAAATCATCAACCTAATTGACATGGGACAAGCAGGAACGCGCTGTAAGCAATGTTTTATTCGGCTATTTTTTTCAAGAATTCGAAAAATGTAAATGGTTTTTTAAATTACAAAAGACTCCTCTTTGTCTTGTCTTGTTAGCTCCATGTACTTGTCTTGTTTCCCATTTTGGGCTTATACAATTGTAGTTTTTTTTTCGATAATTGTTTATACAATTGCAGTTACTTTATATATATACACAATTCCTTGACATTTCCAAAAGTACATAAATTTCATGACTAGGATTGGCAATATACAATTGCAAAAACATGTACAAATACAATAATACCTCATGCGTAAGCTGATGGATTATAATATCTTCCATAATTGAGCCGTTATCTTAAGAAACATATTTATTAACTATTGCTTGTCTCTCTAAAGTTAATTAAGATATATATTAATAATTTATTCTATCACAGTAATAATGTCATGAGACATACTTAGTATCAAATCACCATAGCACACGTCTCTCCTTGTGTGAAGAGCACACAATGCGTAATTAAAGAACATATAATAAATATGTGTGAGTGTATATATATATATATATATATATGTATAGAGAGAGAGAGAGAGAGATAGAGAGAGATTGCAGAATGCCTTTTTTATTCACAAAACACACTCCCACGCAGTACATATGTATGCCATATATATAGGTGTTGCACTTGGTTTCCCAAAGAAGCCACAAATGAAATCTTCTCATATAAGCTAAATATGGTTATGTCATGGATGACATACATATATTGTGGGCCCTACTTCCATTATATATTATATATATAACAGAACAATCTTACTTTCACACTTGTACATATATTATTTTTAGCTTTGTACATTTATTATTTTGAAATTGTAAATATGCCCCATCTCAAAATTTTCAAATAAATAAAAAAAGCTCTCAAGTTTTAATGATTCTTATTAGCTTTTACTTTTCTTAGTTTTAGATCCATTTGGTCCTTTTTTTTTTTTCTACTCTCTCAAACTCTCTTTTAACGGTCTAACACAAAAAGTGAAATGAGAGAATTTTAGAAGTCATAGTCGACCATGACTGACCTTAAAGTCTATACACAAGAAATGCTAATCCATTCTTTTCACTCATTCCATTGGTTGTGCAAAGTTGAATTTTCTTTTAAATAAAAAGAAATACAAAAGAAGTAGATTTTTTTGTTAAAATATTGTATATATAATGATATTGATAATAAGACATTTGTGCAATTCTTTTTGAAGACATTAGACTTTGTATTTATTAGTTCAATTCAAAATTTTTTTATCTTTATTATTTTTAAAATTATTCTGTCCCCATTAGAGAAATTTTTTTGACTCCACCACCGTACTATAGCCTTGGTGTGATTTAGCATTAGTATATTTTCTCTCAGGAACACACATAACGCAAGTGTATAAACGAATAATATTTTCCTTCACACGGATGGAAGTAACCTTCTCAAACCACGGATGTGGTAGGATGATGACAAGATGATACTGTAATTTTTAAAAAAAAATTTAATATGTATAGGAAAAAATATATCAAAATCTTAATTTTCTCTCTTTTACAAAATTGTTTTTTTTTTTTTTTTTAATTATTGATAAGAATATACTCCATTTTATAATTTTAGGAACTCAAAGTCTCGCTATTCACTTTAGAAGGTACATAATATCATAAAGGTACAAAACATTTGGTTTCCCCTTAAATCACACAATTTTTCTCAACAGATGTTACTTTCACACTTAGAACGCTTATACTCTGCGCGCACTCTGTCTCAAATTTTTACTACTTATGATTTAATTCTGTCACTCTTGCTTTCGCTCCCATTTTCACTTTATGTGACTTAAATTTCCTCTACGCCATTTAAAATTTATTAAAATTAACACATAATTGGTCGGTGTAGGAGAGGTCTCTCCTCACCCACGTCCACACAGGTATTATTAAGTGTGAAATTCCGAAACTTCACCATGAAAGTGTGAACTAAAATGGTGGGTTGCGGCCTAACAAAAGTAAAGTGCCCACATAATAGATAATAAAATTAATGACTCTGGTGGGGTCACTACTACTCTCACCTTTTCCATGGAGAAATTGTAAAGTATATTGGAATCCTAGGCCCATCGAAGATCACACAGTACTCTATATACCCTAACCCACCCTCTCATCGTCTTCTCATACATATATATATATCAATTGTCACACATAGACTAGCTAGCTAGAATTTAATTGAAGCTTGATTAAATTTTCTTCCCTAATGTTTCCTTTTCACCATAGTACTACTGATCACGAACTCTCGCAGATCTGCTCTACTATCCACCAACAACATGACAACCAACAAGATCTGATTCTTGATTTTGATTCTGTACCCGGCAGCAGTAATCTTACCAACAACATCATCAACACTTCTTCGGACCACAACAATGTTGTGGATACTAATGTTAATGACAAGAAAATCATGCGTAGGGACATCGAAAGAAAAAGAAGGAAGGAGATGAGTGATCTTTGTGCTACACTCCGATCTCAGCTTCCTCTTCAATATATCAAGGTGAGGAAATTTTATATATATATATATATATATATATGTTCTCCCTATTATTAAATTTATGCATTAGACCATGAATTTTATTTGAGATAGAAATTGCTTACTAACATATTGTAGAAGCCTACTGGTTTGTGTTACTTTGCCAAGAAATGAGTGATCTTGGGGCAATTCAGAATTGGTCACCCTCTCTCTATGTCTATCCATCTGTATGCGTTTGTGTGGTGGTGGAACTGTATTTTTTGTTTTTTAGGGTTTTTATTGATGGTTTTTTTTTTTCCTTCAGGGAAAGCGTTCACTAACTGATCACATTAGCGAGGCAACGAATTATATAAAACACCTGGAGAAGAATATTGAGGAAATGAGTGGGATGAGAGATGAGCTAAGAAAGAAGTCGAGTTCAAGTGCTTTAAGCTCGGAAGATGGAAGCTCAAGTCAGTGTGTCATGGTCTTCCCTTGTTTGGGAGGAGTGAAAATTGTGTTCAATAGTGGCTTCAATGAGGAAAGATTGCATCTATCAAGGGTGATGAAAGTTCTGCTTGAAGAGGGGCTTAGTGTCATTACTTGTGTTTCTACCAAAGTAAATGAAAAGTTACTCCACACTATAGAGTCTGAGGTACCAATATCACCCAAATAACTCATTTATTGATTGCAAATTTTAGGGTTTTGTGTGTGTGTGTATGTGTGTGATTAAGTTGATATATATATGGATATTGCGAGAGAAACCTTGAAATCTTTCATTAATGTTACCTCACTGCAGGTCAAGGATTTGACATGCTTCAATTTATCTGAGCTGCAAAGAAAACTAAATGATGCTGTAAATATTGGTCCTTGAGAGAAATTTGTAAGTGCCACTATCATGGAGATCGATTAATTTCTGCACTGAACATGATAAGAGTATTGATCGAACATTAGCCCACATGGATCAAGAGTCAGGTTAATTTTGTGATCATTTTTCTCGTCCATGCATGCAGGTTATCTATAGCTAGGAGTTCTATTTTAGCTTGAATTAATGCATTCATTGTGGCAGGTTTTTTATGATGATCATGTTTGACATGTGATGTTGCAGTCTTTGCTGGTTTTGCTTTTTTTGAAGCCTCTTTGTAAAATTATGTGTGGAATGCCCAAAGAAATTAATGGTTGAGCCTAAAACAAGTACTTGTGCCTATTTTCGCATTTGCAAGTAGTGAGTTTTGTGTTGTACTGGTTTAATTTACATTGTCATGCACCTCTTTAAATGGTTTTAAAATGATCTGATATACTAGATCTTCACATATATTCAATTTTCGTTAATCTAGATTTGAATCTAAAAATTTGTGTCAGTATATTCATTCTGGGACTCAAATCCTATCCAAAGAAACAATGGTCCGTTCCATCCAGTTATGAATCAAGGCACTAACTAGATGGAACGGAACCGGAGAGAATTTTGTTCCATTCATTATGTCCTTCCCAACTTTCTCGAATAACTAGACCATGCTAGGTAATGATCCCTTTTATGTAATTTTTGTAGGACTTCTGACAGATTGGAAGCTAAATTGAGAATTGTGCTAAAGCAATTAGCAATCACAGCTTGTAGATAAGCTGAAATATTATTAATGTTTGGGTAAATCTGCTCTGCAACACATCTATAAATATACTAGCAAAGAAATATCACAAGGACAGCCCAATTTGAAATTATCTCTAAAAATTATGAAATAAATAAATAAATTTTGAAAGAATTACAATGGAATTTGTTAATAAAAAATAAGATATATAGAAAGAAAAAAAATCAGCTAAATCCGATTCTTATTCGACCACTTACAAAATTCTCAAACTATGAAATTTGTTTGAGAATAAAATTTGGCCGAAAAGTGACGTACATCATGAACCGAAGTTCGTATAATTATCATTGGACCAAATCTGAATGGGAATGGATCTCCAAGAGTTGAAACAGGTTCATCAAACTGCACCGAAAAACATGTCAGCCCCTCCATTAGTATTTCAGCGGTCCAAACGGTTCCCATAAGTGCCCACAACATGTTCTACATCAACTTCCATTCTGTTAAAAGAGTTGCTTATACACACTATGGAGACTTCAACCCTTGACCTTAACATTAGAAGGCAGGGAAGTACCACTAAGCTACAAACTTTGGTAGTTAAAGTTTTTTTTTTTTTTGTTAAACTTTGGTAGTTAAAGTTGCTTATACTATATACCTTTGTTGAATTTTTTTATTAATTTCCTTTTGTGTGTTTGTGTCAACAGTGGAGTTTGGAATAATTTGATTAGTGTTATTAACCTTAAGAAGAGCAACAGACTATATTAATAGCTGAAATTATCACATTGCAATATGAAAAATGATACTCATGCTGAATTTTTTATATTTTTATGATACACAAGCAGCATGTCACAAAAATTTTAATGCCTTTACTCAATTTCATCTTTTATTACATGAATTAAATGGATTGAAACTAAAGTCAATGGATTAGGTTGAATCGTTTATTACATGAATTATAAAGTGTTTGAGCATTTGATCTATTGACTCCAATTTCAATGGTAACATTGAACAATTTACTGTAATGGAAATCAATCGATGAAGAGGCCTCACTTTATGAAACCAAATAAAACTTAGCATAATCATAATCTATGGCTGAAGTCATAATCTCTGATGCAATCTTTCATATATTTTTTTTTACTTTTTATTGTGTATTAAGGTGAGATAGACCCACAGTTATTTTTTGGGATAGGTAACAAAAAAAGGAAAAGATGACCATGTCCCACATTACTCTTTGCAATAATATGTTCAATCCTAATCCTATGATGGAATTTTTCTTAATTGCCTCTCTCAAAGATTAATTTGATGTTGAAGTATCACCTATATTAATTATCCATGGAATAGAGAATAATCCCATTGTCTCTAATGAAAATTTAGTCAAAGTTGCATGGTAGATCACAGCCTGTACTTGCATTGTTTTGTGAAAACTTCTTCGAAGTACTGAAGCTACAATTTCTTAATAGTTCAGATTGATTTACAAAATCTTTGTAGAACATAATTTAATTGGTTTCCAGAATACACTGGGTTTTTTTTCCCCTTAGTTGTCTCTCCTCTCACCTAATTTACTCAGTGTCATGATCAGTTTAATGGTGATTGGTGATCAGTTTTTTCTGCATTGACTTTTTAATCAGTACTTAGTGATAAGCATATAAATTTCCTATGGAAGGGTTGGTAGACTTCATTACTACTTGATTTGGAGGTTGTTTTGGTTCCATCTTATTTTGCTTGAACCATCTTTGCAGCAACCATGATTTTCCATATATATGCTCTTCGATCATATAAAATAGAGAAAAATTAGTAAAAAGGGCACAAGCTAGGTTCTGTTATTCCAGGTCTACAAAGGTTTAGATGTGCTCGGTATTACCTTCGCATGCTAATGTTTTTTGTTTTAAACCCGTGACCTCTGAATTAGGAGGAAAAAAAACTTTAAAAGAACAGAAGTGACTAATGTTACTAATCACATGGATAGTTACTCAATAATCATAATGGTAGAGAAAACTAATTAATTTAAGGTCATCTTCGGAATTCTTAATTTGCATATTTGATCCATTCTTTAAACTTCTAAAATTTAAGTGTCTAGGTAAAGAAATCACTATTTGTGAAAAAAAAGAAAAAAAATCCAACAATTTCCAAATCTCTGAATTAACCTCCTTTTTATTATTTTTTAGATGTAAATAAGTTTATATTCCCCTTGTTCTATTGTATTTGTTTTTTTTATATACTTGTCTAACTTACCCCCAAAAAAAAAAAAAAAAAAAAAAAAATCCACACACACACACACACACATACTGTTATATATTTGAACTTCCCCCAATTTGAATGGAACATTTGGCTGTCAACTAGAAATTTAGAACTAGCCTTGCATGGGGTACCTAATCTCGTGGCAAAAGTATAGAGAAGGATATATTTATCATATAATCTGATTTTCTTGGAAAGAGAAAATCCGGAAAGAGACATACTCCTATAATCCATCCAACAATAAGTCTACCAACTCCCAACTTTTCTTGGTATTCAAGATATTTTTATACATACACATATCACATATGACATACTGTAATGTATGTGTATATAATAAGGAGACACACACGAGGGACCAGAAATATATACAAAAGAAGAATAAAGATATCATATGACATAATGGAAAGTTGAGAAGATTGTATGGGTTGAGATGCTATCCACTCCAATAGTAATCTTCTTATTTCTTCTCAATCTTTTGGGCGCCTTATACAGTTATACATATATACATATAACACATGTATATAAAATGGACCCAGACACATATACAGGTGACCAGAAATATATATACAAAAGAAGAAAGATATCATATGAAATAATGTAAAGTTGAGAAGATTATATGCGTTTGATCGAGATGCTATCCACTCCAATAGTAATCTTGTCATAATTTCTTCTCAATCTTTTGGCCAGCCTACCCAAGATTTAGGTATATAAAATATTTAGATACTCTCTGCCATGACTCTATTCATGTAACCAACAAATTGGAATTAAAATCAAAATAAATTACTAAGATCTACGGAATATAATATCGGTCGTCGGTGGTTCAGGCACGAGGACTCAACAAGTACAATTTCTTTAGAGTCTATTTAGTATTAACAATAAGGTTGTACTTGATAAAATACTGTTTTTGCAACTCAGACCTCAATTCAGAGTCCGATATGTATAACTTGGTGAGTAAGATGCTCACTATATGGATCGAACCTGTACCTGTTTTTAAGGAGGAAATGTTATACCAACTGAACAATTGACTCCGTAAATTGTCAGCAGTGTTCTCATCTTTTCAAAGAAATCTTGAAAAATTATGGTAGTGTGTGGTTGAATTACCATTCTATTGATAATGGGCAAATATACTGGCCCCAAACAACCGTGCAAAATGTTGGAATGGAGGTTTTTTTTTTTTGGTGAAATTTTAAGCAGCTGATATAAAATGAAAGTATTCATGGTGGGCCTTTGGCCAAACAAGCCCTGAAAACTAGGACACAAATAAGCCCAAATAGGCAAACAAGTTACAAGCCCAGTCAATAATCAAAATAGATAATCGCATTTAACGGTTTGATTAGTCGTTAATGGTGCTTATGAGTACGTCATTCCAGTGAGCCCTAGCAGGTACAAGAGAACTGCACTGCAATTCTCTGATCTCAGTTCGGTGGCATCGGTGGTGGCCGGCAACAAGAAGGCAATAGATTTCAGTCCATAAGGATGCGTCTAAAAGTTGGGCAGTCTTGAAGGAACCCATTTTGAATGGCCAATATAAAGTGTTGGTACTAGTATAATTCGAATTCATAACTGGAGAAAAATATACAAGAAAAAAACAAAAACAAAAAAAAAAAAAAAATAAAAGTCTTATACACAAATATTTAATCTTCCTCCCCTTCCTCCGGACCAGTAATTCGAACTTTGATTCCTCATTTCGTTGATAGGTAATTTTTATTCATAACAAGAAGTCATAAACTCTTCATATTTAATCACATAATTGAAATATATATTAATTGATTTATTTGATTTTTACATATCTCAAACAAATGTGAAGAGCTCAACCATCAAGTCTAAGGTTCGTACGAGTATCAACTAGAACTATTGCAACGAGACAACTCTCCTAATAGTATTACTTAATTTTGGATTAATTGCAAAAAAACATATGATATAAATATAGTGCATATAATACCCCTCGTAATGATTTCGTTGAAATAAACTAAAATAGCCTTGCCATGAAAAAAATAATAATAATAATAATAAAAATAAAAAACAAAACAAAAATTCAGAATTCAAATAGAGTTTTTATTCTTTTCTTGAACCATCAATGGAATTGCAGAATACTCTCAAAATGAAGAGGCTTTTCTTGGGTGTTCTGAGTGTAAATTTAACGCATCGAAGGCTTTTCTTGGGTGTTCTTTTTAAATTGTTTTGGGCTCTGCCGTTTTAAAAATTTGGGCTTTGTCTTATAATCTTATGGGCTTCTGTTTTGCCCTCTTTTTCACCTTCATTTCTAATAATTTAAAAAGAAAACAAAAATCAAAAAACACATTTCACAAACAAATAAAAGTCAAAAACGAATCTATATAAGTGCGGTTCTGACAGGATTTTTTTTGGTGAAAGCTCATGCCAAAAACACGACTTTATGCTGATATTAACTTTATAAACATACCAAGATCATCATAACTTCTTTTATCTTTTAAT